TTTCAATTAATATTTTTTGTGTAGCCTTCAATGATGAATCTGTTCAATATCATTCTCAGTGTACAATTTTGTTATTTGCAAAAGACCTTTTCAAGTTTTTGGATATTTTGTTTCCATGCAATAAACTTTGTTTTGTGTTTTTTAATACAAACCACATGAATATAAATCCTGCTTCCATCATTGTATTCTATAATTACAAACGTACTATTTCTGGGTTGTAGGAGCGGTCATGTGACCTGTGAAATATAAAATATCGATGATTTTTGCTTTTTTGCCGGCAATGAAATATATGCTTACAGACGCCGATACCAATAAAATATTCCTCAGCGGGCATTATATATTGTCTGGTTTTGCTACTTTCGGTGTATGGATTCCAGCCACGTGACCGGATATTTACTTTCAAAACTTACGTCATAAGGTTTTTTTACTAACAGATTTGATGGTAATCGATAATACTATTTAATTTTATTTGTCTTACATCCTATGCCACTAGAAATTGCCAAATTTTAAGGATCAGCATTTACGTCACAAGGCAACTAGAAAAGCCATCGGATTTTCTAAAACAGGGTCGTAACACAATAGTAGTTTGTGCAACAAGAGTGAATATGATGGCCATATCGTACAAAGAGGAAGTTTGAGTACGACGCCATAGGGGAGTGCTCAATCATCTGAAATCATTGGTAGGAAAGTTTTTGTTATATTCGTTGAATTTCTCAGAAAAAAAGTTTTGATGCCAAAAATGATCTGTAAACAGAAAATGATCTTTGGCCTGATTAATCAGTATATAGCACATTTCTTTTGTTTGAGCAGAAAAGGATATTAATTGTTTATGCTTTTTCTTGTAGGAATCCTGTTTTTAATTATCTCGTCTAGTACGCCAGTCCTTTTTGCTGATGTAAATTGGCAACAAACACTTTTTTTCTGAAAAATTAAATTTCAATAAATACATACGGAAATGATTTTCTTATAATACTTTAAACGCCTTCTTCTTTTCCTGACATAATTGCCGTTCTGTTATACCTTTGACCTGATGTACGGAAATATGAAGCAATTCCAACATTGTTTTTTAATTTTTGTGGCTGTGACGCAGGTTCGTGAATTTATTTGGCAATGACATATAGTTTATATGGACTGCTTATTCATTGAAACAAAGGGACCGTACGTCATGACTTTAACGCCAACTGATGACAAAATTGTGAACTTTATGGGGGGGATTTATTAAAGTTTTATGTCATTTATCGTTTAGTAACTATTAAATAAATTCGGATTATTTTCGTAATATCATTATCGAAAAAACTTGTTGCATCCGTGGATGTACATATGCATCACTTCGGAAACGTGGATTGGATTCGTTAGTAAAGACATTTTATAAATTTCCACACAGCACACTTGGTGTCTCACACCCAATGATATACATAGTTACACAGATTGCCTATCCATATGTAAATCGACGACGAAAAGCCTATTTCACTGGGTGAAACAAATCATTAGAACAGGTTTAAAAATTAGAACCCTTAATCACAGTTTATAGCTAAAGAATTAGGTCGCTCACTCTGCCTCGGCACTTTTGATCTCAATGTTCTAGTTTATACATTGCGCAACTCGGATTTGTATCCCTGGCGCATACATAATCAAATCATAATAGCCCAAGAGCCCACTGCAAATTTTTACCCTTTATAATGAACTAAAGAATCATGCCTATTTTTAATTAACTGAATCAACCCTTTTCTTAAAGATCCCCAATTTTTAAATTATTATTCCCTGAAATTCGCGCGATTTACTTGAGATCGGCGCAAGAGCTGAAGAACGTGGGCCAGTAGAAAATAGCGGACGAGCATTCAATTTTAATCTCTTTTCGCGGCAAGTCGTTTTAAGACCGAACTGCGATACCACGTCAATTCCGTTAGAATTTCAAAATCTCTCCCATTTTTCCATTGTACACTATTTCGATTGGTAATTAGATTATTTAGCTTCAATGAATATTAACCGAAACGATTGTAAATACTGGAGAATATATGTGTCAAATTGATATCTGGTATTTCATTCCCTTGTTGTGAATCTCTCTTTTCAGGTACCTACTATATAACTACTATAACATCATTGATCCTCTGGAATTTTCTTTCTTCACTGCAGCTACCTGCAGCCCTTCTTGGAACTTGTTCCAACAGGTAAAGTGGAGCAAACCACTCTAAAACAAGACGGCGCCCGAGCACCCCCAGTTCGAACGTCACAAGTGAGAGTATTTCTAACCAGTTGAGAAAACCTCTCAAACTTCATCTGATAACGAAATGAAATATACCACCAAAGCATGTAAAAACATTGTACTTTAACAAATCCCAATCCAGCAAAGTGGTTAAAAAATTATTTTTTCTGTGACGGGAAAAAAGTCTTGTCAGGTAAACCAAATGCCCCTTCTTATAAAATTATTTTTCCCCGTTTCCCAGAAAAAAAAAAATTCCGGGAAAAATTGAGTATCTTTATCCCGGATATATATACACATAAGTAAAGGTAGATATTTTAGACGATTTTTCTAGAGAAATAGTCGATATTTGGTCTAGTGAAATAGTCGTTCCAAATATAACACGACCTTGATTAATATTCTGCTATTTTTGTTGTTGCTAAATTTCTCGAACATTTTACAATTTAATTCTACATAATTTTGACCTTAATAATCAATTGATTAAAGCCCTCGAGCTAAAGCTCTCGGGCTCTAATCAGATTATTAGTGCCAAAAATTATATCTCATCAAATTGATATTAAAATATTCTCGAGATTTAGATTCAACAAAAATAGCTGACTATTATCAAGGTCTTGGTATATTACCCTTGACTATCTCCCTAGACCAAATATCAGCGACTATTTCTCTAGAGAAATAGTCGATATTTGGTCCAGTGAAATAGTCGTTCCAAATATAACACGACCTTGATAAATATTCTGCTATTTTTGTTGTCACTAAATTTCTCGAACATTTTACAATTTGATTCTACATAATTTTGGCATTAATAATCGATTGGTTAAAGCCCTAGAACTAAAACTCTCGGACTCTAATCAGATTATTAATGCCAAAATTATGTTTCATCAAATTGATATTAAAATATTTTCGAGATTTAGATTCAACAAAAATAGCTGACTATTATCAAGGTCTTGGTATATTACCCTTGAATATTTTTTCAATATTAAATCGTCGTTTTTATCTCACAGAAAATATTAGATTTTAGCTAAAATCTAATACTTTTTTCCCTTGTACAATGAATAATTCTGTACCATCCGTGAATAAGTCGATAAGTCAAATTTTCATTCTGTTTGGTTAATAAATGGGTGATTCAAATTCGCAATAGTTTCTTCGATGAGTTTACTTCAGAGGACGCCGTTAATAGTTGAATTTCTCCATTTTTTTGTGCCAAAACCGGTAACTACAGCTATCCCCGGATTTGGAAGAGGTTTATCCAAATGATCAGTCATTTTTTAGTTTTCTTTTCCAATCAAAATGTATGTTATTTGAACTAAGTTCACTTTGCTTTTTTCATGAATAAATAAAAAAAAATTTGTCCTGTTTATTTATACTAGAATAAGTCAGTAACTCAACAACAACACACACATTTGAGGGCAATAAATAGGAAAGTCAGATTTTTCCATTAAGTAATATAATTTCACAGGTCATGATTATTTACATTGTTGGTTGTATAATTTACAACCTAGTTCAAAAAAACGAAATTCAACTTAAAATTTGTTTTTTGAAAACATCAAAATGTTGTTTAAAATAGCAATACTGAAAAACTTCAATTTTTGACTTACTGACTTATTCACAGATGGTTCAGGACTGTTATATTATATAGACATGACAGCGCTAATTTTGTTTGCCCTTAAAGTTATCCAGAAAATAACATATTCAAATCTTTCTTGATGTATATCGTTAAAGGGAAACATTTTCTTTCTCTTAACATCGCACAAAAAGATCTATCCACGATTAGTAGGTAAAAATCATTAAAAATATGAATAGATTTTTGCTGTTTTAAAAATGTGTTTGTATGCCTATTGTTGCGATTCATTTTTACAGGTTGCTATAGAAACGACAAAAAAACTACAATGATTATGGTTTAAAAAAGAATTGTCTAACAAGAGTTTATAAATATTATTGACTATTTCTGCAAATGGTTTATACAATGCCATCCTTCTTCCTTTCACACATGGTTTAAAAGGTAGTTAAAAATATTAATAATTCTGATTGATTTAAAAGCTAGTCTCACAATGAATTAGGATTGTAATTTTTAGGGAAAACACAATTGTCGATGTCATGGCTTATGTGATTTTTTGCTCAGGATAGGGATTGTCACGGGTGCAAGTCTAATTCATGTTTTCCACAATTTGTTTCTTTTAAAGTATGGCAAAGTTTCGTCTCCATTAATGTCTACTAAAAGTTTATCCAAAGAAGGTATCTTTTTTTTGTAAATAAAACGAATAAACGTTCCTTCATAGCACCGTCTATTTGAGTGGGGTTTCTTCTAGTTGACGTTTTAGGTGCTTCTCCAACTCCGGTCATATTTGAACACTTAGAAACTTACTCTAAACAGTACAATTGAAATGTGCATGTACAAGTTTTTATATGCACGGTTAAATTGCACTTTAATTTCACAGGAGTATAATTAGACGTTTGTTACAAAGACAGAAAATGTCCACAAAGGCTTTGTTCTCGACGTCTTGTAGCATATATTTTATTGTGAGCAAAAAGGCAAACATCTATTGATTCAAAACTTACCTCATATAACCGCTCTCACCACCCGGACATAGTAAAGCTTGTCGACCCTTCCCCCTGCACCCAACTACAGAGAGCTGGCAAAAAAGAGACATGTCACTTTTCTGAGTCAGATGTGTTACCTTCTCCTTTTTATGGTTAAAAACTATAATAAAGAAGCAACTGTATAAATGCACGTTTTTTTTAAAACATTGAAGGCGCATTTAAAGATTTATTTGCCAAACCTTGACATTTATAACGTTAATTCGTAATATGAACGGAATTTTTGAAAGACGATGTGCTCACCTTTGAGCTATGTGGATATCACCGAAATTGTATGTTTCGAATTGTCAAGATATTTAACCCTGTACGATTCGAATTTGTTCATCTTATTGATAAGTATCAGAATAGCTAATCCGAAAACAGGCAGGTACTTGAAAACTAATCTGCCGTATAATATGTAAAGAGTCCAAAAAAATTGTAAAGCTCTTAGAATCAACCACAAAAAACGCGTGTTCGTAAGCAGAATCACTATGGCGAAGGCAATCAGCAGTACTATACGAATCAAAGACCTATCTCTGGCATCCCCATGGATATGCCGTGAAGATGATGTCCAGTTTTTACTAAACCCCACACATGGCCATGAGGACGACGCCCTGGATCATTCGACCTCGTGCCCGTCCATGAAATGAGTTCGCACTTCGAGGTGCGACGCGAGGTCGAGCACAAGGTGCTGCAGAGAGGGGTGCTCCAAAAGTTCGGCTTCGGGCAACAGGGGCTGGCATCTCGGACGGTATTGGCGGCCTTTGAACGCTCTATGTAGGTGCAGCACTACGTCGCAGAATACGTATCTAAGCAGCAATAAGCGCAGGAAGTCGTCTCCGAAGAATTGCAGATATGACGATTCTAAAATATACAATACAATTAAATATAAAATAGGTAATTTGAATGATACATTAAGACAACCAAGTTTATTCCGAGAATGTATACAAACATGCAATAACAGCACCAACGATGTCGACGATATGGCAGGGGCGCATATAATAATGGGAGTAATTACCCCCAAGAATTTTTAAACCTAACTTTTCATAGGTACTAAAATGTTTTATTATCAAAACTTAAGACTTAAATATTACCGCAACTCCCCTCAGACATACACTTTATTACCACTACCTCCCAGATTTAAAGTCTGGATGTGCCACTGCGATATGGCAGATTTTATGATCGTGGCATATTCGGTAGGAAAATTTCACACCAAAATAAAACTGTTAAATTAAAAATAATGCGATTTTGATTATGAAATATAGGTACGATATTAAAATTGCGAAGTTGGCTTTATAACTGTTAGCGAACTTCTTAAAATTAACGGAAGCTTAGTGTCTATAAAAATGTCTCATATCATAGCACAAGTAGAAGTTGCAAAGGTAGGTTGGTAGGTAGAGAGGGGGTAAACGTCAAACCACGTGGGAGCGCCGGACGGCTTCGAGAATATCGGAGTAATGTTTACCTGCCAGTGTCGTTTCATAGAATAAGTAATTTTAAATTTTTACCGGCGGAACCGGACAATCGCATGTATTTATGGACTATAAATAATTATTAAACATGTATTATAATATTCAAATCATAATTTTACAAAATTTCAATAGCTATTCACAATTTAATAATCTACTTACTCAAAATTGTTATTAACATCTATAAAATAATTTTGTACGCCAATGTATCGCGTCCACTTCGGTTAGAACCGCCGAAAACCTGTCAATTTATGTGTATAAAGTAGGAGAACTGGCAGAAGCCTTTCCAACTTCTACTTTTGCTATAGTAGAGTCGATCTTGTTTTATCTGATGTTGGCGCCATACAAATAAAATGAATTCCTTGAATTTTAGTTGCATGAAATAATCACAGATATATTAACAATACCTACTCTAAACTATAAGTATATTTATCTGAGCATTACTAAAATATACGGAAGATTTGCTTCTTACAAAATTTCCAATAGGATTCTTTTTCATGTTCCATATAAGTACTTATTGAACTTCTATAATAAAGTAAAATATCTTCTTGGAATTTTAGTTTTATAAAAAAATACAAGTAAATTTTTATTAGTGTAAGTTAGCAGGTAAACAAATTTTTGTGTGATTACTAATTGTAGTACCGCCGGCACTTCTCCGGGCAGTACGATTAGAGTCGCCTTGAGTGTCTAACGTGATCAGCTGTGGTTGTTACCTGATTCTCATGCATTGTGTTCTATCGATAATCATTTGGTAACTATTATTTGACTTGATAATTAATAAAATCTAACATGTAGATTATTAAATTCAAATACATTTGGGTTACTAAACGGAGCATTTAATTTTTGAGAAATTAATGATAGAGTAGCATATTATATAAATTTCTGCAAATAGCAACAGTTAAAAAGTAGGTCGCAGAATATTAGACGAAATTATTTGACAACATACGTTCTCACAGTGTCGTTTAGTCATCGTAGTTAACGATAAAAACAGAATGAATAACTTATGTGTTCTGCGTGAGGATCTGGAAGATACTAAAATATTGAATCGTAATCTTAATCTAAAATATTTGCCGCATTAAATTCAAGGCAGTCGGTTGAAATATTGCAACTAAATATATTTGGAAGAATTCAAGAAGTTTTATTGGAGATAAGTGGATCATTTACTCATATTTCAAGAACTAAGTTTAACAAAATTGTGTCTACAAGTGGATATTACATTATATAAAAGAAAGAAGTAAGCTGTGCATTTGACAGAAAGATTTCCAGTCTAATCACGCTTAGGGTAACCGATGAAAAATATTTCCGGAAATATTCCCTGTTGTCATATTAACGATTAAAAATAACTTTACTTGATTGGTTAAAAAATGTTGGTGTGAAATTTTCACAATAAAAAATGTAAAATGAGAGAATATCCCGGCTTCGCCTGTTGGTCATACCTCCATTTTAGAGAAAACATGTATATAACAAAAATGATAGAGAATGACGTTTAGTTGCCCCAGGTAAAATACGTAACTGGACCATCCTCCTATTTTTATGTATGTTGCTGCTTTATTAAAAACCGGGTTATATAGGCCTTTATAGAACCCAATATAGTGTATACAAATACCCAACACTAGCTAGAATGTATAATAATGTTTTATAAAATTATCTGGCAAAGTAATTAAGGTAGGTATTGCTTAAAAAAAATAACATCTGTTAAAGAAATTAAGATCATTTATTGAGGAAATAACAAATACAAATAACAGAGCCCGAACTCGAACCCATTTTTCCAATATTTTTAAACAATTTGTTAACTCTTTTTCTTCTTCTTCTTCCTTCTCTTCTTGGTCTTCTTCCTCTTCGTAGTCTTTTGAAAGGTATGAAGATACTCCTACTAATCCATTCCTATCCACAGAAGTATTACCTTTAACCCTAGTACCCAATCCGTAATGTTATAATGTGAATCGTGGCATATGCTTCGAGCATAGTTATATATGCTCGAAGGGTATATGCTAAAAAGTAGCTATTCCACGAGTCGTTTTATTGCCATTTTAAGTCTTCTCTGGTATATACGAGTATAACACTTTTCTGCGTCTTTCTATCATAGTTACGCACTATTGTCTGCAAAACATTAAACACGTCCAATTTGGAACGTGACCCAAAAATGGATAACCGAATCCTAGTGGTCCAAATACCCCAAATACCCCAAGCGTATGGCTAAGATACCCCGTTTACAATTTTTTTGGGGGTAACTGGATCCACGTTTTTATTCTTGTGAATAATTGAGTATTTATTACGCAATTTGTTAAAATAAGCTGTAAATATAGCCCCAAAAATAAAATATGTACTTTATTACTTACCTGTAAGTAGATGAAAAATAACACTATTTACAGCACGATGTAAGATCTTTATGCGCAAAAATTGTTACCATGAAATTCCAAATTCAACCGATTTTTAGGTTATGCGTTAAATGTTAATGTTGTTAGTGCTCTACTTAACCACAGCCAACTGTGTAAAATAAAAAAAATTAAACTATATGGCTAGAAATATTTTGTGGCCCAATTACCACGTGGGTCCAGAAACCCCGACAGACCTTATACCTTATTTTCTAATTGACTTTCGATACGCTGTTTATAATAATCACAATTTAATAATTTCCAATATTTTTAGTTGATTAAATCATACATCATGTCGGCACTTGATCACTAGCTGATAATCATACCTTGTACATTTGGATGATGTTATGCAACAAAGAATCAATCAATATTTTTTTCATACCGAAGTTGTTCCAGTGTCCCAAAGAGCTATAGTATTGTAGACCTTATTGTAATACTCAAATTGATTTCGGGATTAATTAATTGCAGCAACTTGCTTCTACATATTCAGTTTCAAATAATTTAAAAGTTTATGAGAAATAATGACTTGTTTATCGTACCATTTCAATCAACAATTATTTTAGGCCTGTATGGCCCGTATTTATAAACAGGTCTCAGCTGAGTCGGACTTGGTTGATTGAGACGCCCTTGAACGAAAATGGAAGTTCGGTTATAATGCGTGAATTTAGAGATGGGTTGCAACAAATCCGTAAATGTACTTAACAGTTACATATTTCCCACTGTCCTTCTCTAAATTCCAGTGTAACACCGGAACCACTTGGAACTTTAGAGAAGCTGTAACCAAACTTCGATTTTCTTTCAAGGACGACTTAGCCAAGTCAGACTCAGCTGAGATCTGTTTATAAATGCGGGCCTTAGTTCTCTTTCAAGAGTTACTAGAAAGGCCAATGAGTTCTCAATAGATTTGCAATAAAGTAAGAAAATTATTGGCTAGGCACTGTATACTTTTCTTTTGTATGTATACGTATTATTTTAAACCCTAGTTTTTTTGTGTGGTGGTAGATAAAAGGTTGCACGTAAAGTGGTTTTGCACGTGAATTCAGAAAATTATGACACACACTTGTATCGTGAATAACTAATATTTTTGTCAAATAACTTACCAACTCGAGATCTCGTGAAAAGGCGAGACGCTTCCGTTACGAAACGATCCACGAAACTTTGACACCTCTCCCAATGATGGATGGGAATAGTGGTCAAGTTGCAGCAGTAACAGAAAGCTGTCAATGGTGAATGGAGGAATAACGTAAACAAGGAACCATTGTGTTGTTGATCTGAAAAAAGAAATAGGATTTAGTGCATACATTAATTCGAGCAATGTGAAAAAACTAGTTTAGCGCAACGAATTTTTCCGAAGTTTAAACCGTGAGAGAAACAATTTTAAAATTAGATCCTGTGATTTATTTATGTTCATTGCGAAACTTAATTTTGTGGGATTTGTGGATTCTTAAAATCAAAAGGGAGAACGCTGGGTATTATAGGAATCCAGTAAAAATAATAATTTCTTTTAAATTTTTATGAAGTGTTTTAACTTGTAATCGAGTACCATTACAAGTTTTTGGCGGTTTAAGGTTCTGTAGAAGCATTACACAGCCCCACAAAAAAAAGTGTATAAATTAAAATATTACAAATTAATACATACATTAAAAGAGAATATTTCGAGAGCGAAATATAGGTCAATATGGCCGTGTTAGCAGGTAAACAAATTTTTGTGTGATTACTAATTGTAGTATTACAGAGAACATCGGCAGTCAAGAGCGTTAGTAGCGGTAATATCGGTAGTATCGGCAGTAGCGGACCGTCGTCGGTGCCCCCCCAGGTAGAACGATTTGAGTCGTCTTGAGTGTCTAGTGTGATCAGCTGTGGCTGTTGGTTAATTCTCACGCATTGTGTTCTATCGGTAATCACTTGGTAACGTAATAATTATTTGGCTTGATAATTAATAAAATTGAACATATATGTATTTACTTCCACTTTTTTCACCGGAATTAAATCCGGATTATCGACGATCCCGATTTTTGACGTCCGGATTATCGACGCTTTACTGTATTACTGAAATAGTACCTATATATAGAGCTTGTGAGTATAATGGGTTGTCGGAAACGAAGTTGCTTCTTTAGATATATACCAACATAGGAATAAACCAAAATTAAAACCATGGACGTAATTTAATTATATTGATTTTAAGTAAAAAAATATTCTGAAGAAAATTCGTAAATAATTTTGGAAATATGAAAATATATATAATCTCCAATTTCCCCTACGGAAATGGACCATTGAAGAACATTATTAGAATGTTATGGTTATCATAGTATATTGTATATATAGATAAATGTTTTTGTAATAGTTGTCATGTTTGATTTCTATTTATTGTTACTTTACATTTAAATAAAGTTCACATTTATATTATTTATCTACGCTATTAATTACTTTAATATAGGATATACTACTCTAATAACGGGTTATGGGCCCAGATTAAAGTTGAATGTTTAAAAGTAATAATTTTTTACAAATATAAATGACGATGACGATGATGATATAAACGTCGAAGAGTTTAAGAAGCTGTAGGCAGAGGTTGTGTCTTTGTAGAAGCAACTGACTGACAAAGCTAACGTAAAGACATACGAGTGTATTGTTACTACTTCAGTAGGAGGTCTACCAAAGTTCAAACATCTTAATGGTAAAAATTATTCAGATAGGAAATTCTGGATAAAATTTTTTTTGATTGATACCGGTTTATGTAGATGCATCCAGTAGGTCCAACCGTTGATAACGATTTAGATAATAAAGCACTAGCAAACACAGGGCCGCCGAGAGCCAGGTCAGGCCCCGGGACAATTTTATACAATTAAATCCTTTCAATATCAATTTCTAAAAAGAAAAGGTCTTCAAGCTAAAACTTCTCCTCCTCTTTAGTGAAATCTTTAAAAAAAAGGCCCTCTCTCTTGTGCTCTTGTGGCGAACTTCTACAATAATATAAAAGACGTCAGTTCTCTAAATGGATATATTGAGAGAATTGTCAGTATTGCTAAACAACTTGAAAGTATTGGAAAACCGTTAGAAGGTAAAGTCTTAAGAGGTATTATTCTTGAGCCTAAGAGGAAAAAAAAACACTACTAGCTCAGACATTGAAATGATATTATTGTATCTAAGTTTATTTCACTTTGCGGTTCGGACGTAAATGAAAGAGAAAAAAAACTACGAAAAGTGGGAAACATCTACTCGAAAACTCCGTTTTTAAATATTCCCAACTGATCTAAAACGCGGCACTAACTAAACAAGAGTCTTTTTCAATTAAATAAAATTTTATCCCCGATTTTAATCTTAACAAAAAGAAAAGTTTAATTTCTCAAATCATTCTAACTAAAATATCGCTTAAACAATGGTATTATATTGTCAAAAAACTAAATCCTAATATTTATTAATAAAATTCATTTCCCAGTTTGGAACTAATAAAAAGAAAAGTTTAATTTCTTAAATCATTCTCACTACAGTATCTTTTAAACAACAGTAATATATTTCCAAATAACTAAATCCTAATATTTATTAATTAAATCAAAGTCCACTTAAACTCAACGGTTTTAAATTAAAAGAATTACGGTCTCTAGTCCAAAATAAAACAATGCTGCGACAAAAAAAAGTAACAAGGTTTTTACCTACCGGTACAAAGAAATTCGAGATCACGACGCACACTGGGGTTTAATCGCATTTTTTTGGCCAAAAATTAGAATTCAAAATTTTAAAATATTTTATTTTGAACGAACGTATTTTAAGAAATACATATAGGGCTAACCAGATGAGCAAAATATATAGTTTTAAAATAATAAATGTGCCTATTATTTCAGTCTTCTTTCAAACGTTTTGGGGTACAGGAGTGTGAACGTTTGTTTATCTTCAATCTTTTAGTACTTTCTGACAGTGATAAGAGTTGTTTGCTTTTATTAAGAATAATTTTTTAGTATGAATGCCGTTCCATGTCTTCAGTAATGACAATATTGAAAATGCTGTTCTGTTTACCTTGAAAAGCGGGTGGCGTGTCTTGCGGTGACATTAGCGTAACTAAGGGCTGTCCAAAATATCTGGGAATATGTTGAAAAACGAAACTATTGTCTGAATCGACGATGACGAACAGCGGTCTTCTTGTGAAAGGATATAAATCACCAGGATAAAGGCAGTGAGCTTCTTTTTGTTTCTTGTGGTCTGCGTCTCGTCGGCTACTAGTTAGAACGCCACCAAGATCGTATCCCACTAAAAAAAATTGTATTATATTTTAGCAATTACCCATATATTATGAAATAAATGTAAAGGAGAAGGAATACATTAAAAATCGCTTTATACTAGGAAGAATGTTGATGGTATCCGGATTTATGTAGCTTAGTAGATGTTAGGTCTTATGTAATTTATAGATGCCATCATAAATAAATAATTGTCGTAGATGTAAATATAGAGGCACGGCAAGTTGTAACAAAAAATAAAAACTCGGGAGCTACGGTGAAGTGAGCTAAGAGGGAAAGCCCACTCATGCGACACGTCGCGCGCGACTGATCGCGAGGCATCGCGCGCGGCATTACTTTAGATGTTTTTAAATGACTCAAAGCCCATTAACGCGGTTCTGTCGCGTGGTCGCACGCGGCTGAAAATTAAAAATGATAATCCCGCGATTTTCCTGCCGCACGCGGTCAGCTTTATCATGGATTCATATGGAGCATCACTCATACAAACGTCAAGTCGCGTGCGAAACGCCAGTTGAGAGTTGGAGTTTCCTATTAACTTTTCGACAGTTCCAGTGAAAAAATGTCCGACAGTTGTATTGATATAGATGAATTTATATCCGATATTCAAGACCGACCTCAAATATCGAACAGTTAATTGAAATAAAATAGCGAAAAAAATATTTGTTCGGGAATCTGCGCTAGCAGTTCGTCAAATGACACTACTCTCATTCTGAAATATTTGAAGAACTTATCTTCGTGTTGACGTAAATCCTTATGTAATAAATTAAATGCGTCTCTTAGAGGGAAAGCCCACTCACGCGACATGTCGCGCGCGACCTGTCGCATACGATTTCTTAGGTGCGATTTTTAACAGACGACAAGCAGCGACACAGACGTTCAGTATCAAAATAGAGGTGGAAGAAGTAGCAACGGTGTTGTTTTATTCTGTTCGTCGGCGGAAAAAATTGAAACAGCGTAGGTACTGGGTTCATCCATTATATATAGACCTTTATGTAAAAGGCGCATTTAATTGATTATATAAGGATTTACGTCAACATGAAGATAAGTTCTTTAAATATTGCAGAATGCTCGCGCAGATTCCCGAACAAATATTCTTGTCACTATTTTATTTCAATTAACTGTTCAATATTTGACGTCGGTCTTGAATATCGGATATAAATTCATCTATATCAATACAACGGTCGGATATTTTTTCACTGGAACTGTCGAAAAGTTAACAGGAAACTCCAACTCTCAACTGGCGTTTTGCACGCGACTTGACGTTCGTATGAGTGATGCTCCATATATATATATCCATGATAACGCTGGCCGCGTGCGGCAGAAAAATCGTGGGCTTGTCATTTCTAATTTACAGCCGCGTGCGACCACGCGACAGAGCCGCGTTAATGGGCTTTGAGTCATTTAAAAACATCTAAAGTATTGCCGCGCGCGATGCCTCGCGAGCAGTCGCGCGCGACTTGTCGCGTGAGTAGGCTTTTTCTCTTAATATTTATCCTCCGCCAAAACTGCCACAAAACTTAAATATTGTAGATTTGCGGAAGGTTAATACGAATAAAGTGAAAGGTAGTAAGTAAAGTAACAGTAGGCACTACAGTAGAAGAAGGGGCTAGAATCGAAGTTGCACCTGAAATAACCCAGAAAACCCATGGCAACTTTTTGTTATCCAGGCACCAAATCAATTACTCGACACATTTAAAAACCATGTAATCCATTCGCTTTCTTTATTGTTTAAATGTAAAATTGACAAAACAAAAAGTTATAAATTTTGGCAAGTCGTAGATTAATTACATCACGTTATTATCGAAGATATGATGGACAAGTAATGTTATTTTTAACAAACACGTTGTGAACAGGTTGTTATTTCTGTGTGTTTATAAAATAACAGACCTATTAAAAATAACACAGGTTGTCAATCAGGTGTCAGTTAGCAAAATTATTTTGAATTTATTAAAAACTTGTATATTTTGATATTTCAAAAGTTTTCAATAAAATGGTGAAACGATTTAGTAATCAATCACACATCTACTTGCGAGGCTCTTGCAAAGAGGTACGTACAATCAAATTGCTGCAGATTCATTAAATATTTCGCAGAAAACTATCTATAGACATAGTAAATCAACAAATTCTTATACAGAGTATGTGAAAATAATGTCTGAAAAAGTAAGCCAAAGTAAAACAAAAGTAAATTATTTAATATTAAGTCGAGGCAAGTTATATATAAGATATACGAAGGTGCTCAACAAGTAACAATTCAATCGTTACATGAACGATTTTTGGAAGAAATACCTGATGTGAAATGTTCTGCACGGTCAATTAATACATGGATTCTAAAAATTGGCTTTCGCATTAAAAGAAAAAACAAAACACAGTTTTTATTGAAACGAACATCGATTCAGTTAATAAAATGTCGTTTTTGAAAAGTTTTAACAAGGAGGTAGAGCTGGATAACTTTAAGCCTGTATTTATGGATGAGACGTGGGCATATAGCAAGGGACGTGACAGAAAAAGTTGACAAGATGGATCAATGGCTACTGCAAGTAAAAAAACAGAAGATGGAATTCGATAAATAATTGTCTATGGTGGCAATGAAGAAGAGTTTATAAAAAATCCAGAACTTATATTTAAAAGTCTTGCAAAAAAGCAGGGGATTATCATAATAATATGAACAGAGAAAATTTTGAAAAATGGTTTAAGACGAAATTTATACCTAATCTGGATCATCCTTCTTTGATTATAATCGATAATGCCAGTTATCATTCGCGGTACGTGGAACCATTTCCATGTCATAGTTGGACAAAAAATAAAACGGTTGCATGAAAAGAATATTAATTATCCAATCAATAGTATGAAATATCAGATTTGGGAAATTGTACGTCAAAATCTACCACGAAAAGAATTTCATCTAGATAGATATGTTGAGGAATATGGACAAAATATTAAGAACTCCTCCATATTACTACCAGTACAATGCGGCAGAGATGGTGTGGTCACAGTGCAAACTTTTTTATGACGGATAAATTTTAACAACAAAGTCGTCACCGGAAGATGTATTTCAGACCTGGTCAGAAGCTTTGAATAATGGTACCGATACTCAGTGGGACAATTATGTAAGACACACTAAAAACAGAATTGTTTTTGATTAGAAAAAATACAAGTAATTAGATGTTTCTGATCTAAAACCAATTATTATTAATTTAGGTACAACGGAAAATATTGATGTGTCTGAATCAGAGTCCAATTGTAAAAAAATGACAATAATTAAAAAAATTATCCAATAAATATTTTCTGTGTCTCTTGTTATAATATTTTTTTTTAACAAAGAATCTGTTTCACGAATTTGCACCTGTTTTGGATTATCTTTAAAAACTATAAAAATGCTAAAATCCAATGTTTATCTGGGAAATTTATTTATAAAGTACGAAAGTAAATTGTTCTAGTATTTGTAGACAAAATGTAAAACGTAATCTTAATTTTTTCAAAGTGACTTCTTGAATTCGTGTAAATGCACCTTAATAAAGTTAAAGCGAAACTGAAATGAGACACGTGCAAACTGTCAGAGGACTTTCTATCATTTTAGATGCGTTCCTGGTAGGCCCACATTATTTAGAATATAGCAATCCACTATGTCCGGGGCCACATAAGCCTGGGCAGAAACTACCGTGTACACCATATTGGTGTACATGTTCGTTAACGTTTTAATACAGTTTCAAAGCATTTACGAGAAATACTCAAGGTTAACAAGATGTAAACAGACTAGTCGTCTACTCATGGGCCGAATGGCAGATGCGAAAAAATTGAAGCCGGAAATAAGAAAATTAAACAAAAATGTAAACGTATTTACCAATATAATACGTTTTCAACTATGCTCTTATTGATTAAACATGATGTTTCTATGCGTAATCAATTAAATTTATCAAAGCATGTGTAAAGCGGTCAGGTACTTAATTAAGTAGAAAAACTATCGATTGACTCGTATCATTGAACCACGTGTACTTTTAATCATGCAAAATGACCGATATTTTATTTTTACTCCTCCATAATTTGTTTGGTATACCAGAGCAAGCATGAATACGCTAAGTTTTGATTTTTTATACTGTTATAGTACATGGCTTCCCATGAATTCGAAACAAAGTTATTTTAATGGAAGCCACTGAGCTAGGATAAATAGAACTGATAGAAGGAGCATAAGAGAGAAACAGACTTATATCTATTAAATATTACGCTATAATGTATTATCGTCCAGTTTTAAGCTGTTTGTTTGTATATGTATATGAGGATTAGTTGAATTAGCGTATGAAATAAAATAGTACGTTGAATAATGTAAAAATAAATCAACTGTCGAAGCCATATACACCCTCCGAAAACAACTACTTTTTTGGCTAACACTGCAACATGCATTGCATTATAACAAAAAAAAGCAGCGATAGAAAACTATAACTTTTATTTTCCTTACTAAGAAGAACGTTATTCGCTTGGACCGGTTTTGACCTTATTAGAACTTATAAGCAAGAAATAGACATTCTCGATTCCAATCTTTAATGTATTCGTACATATAGATGGTGGATATGTGCGAATAAGTCACAATGTAATGTCATCTACAAAGGAGTAGTTGTTTTCCGGATGATATTAATAGATATATTTTAGTAAAATATCAATTATCAAAAAATTCATAATTTTTAATAATGTTGGATAAAATGACAGCGGCTGTTAGTTCATCATTGATAGATTGATAAAAAAAAGACAGTTAGATACCGCACCGATGCCAACGTTGCTGCAACAGTTGGGCAAAAAGACACACGTAATGCGAGCGTCAATATTGTCACGAAAGTGCTCATTAATCAGAATCAGTTTAGCAAATATGTGTTTTAAAGCCAAATTTTTGCTTTTGACTGTAGTAAAAAAATAATTATCTACATTTTTATTTCAAGGGATGAGCATATAATTAAAAAACATATGGATGATCAATGTATGCTGTCAAATCCATCAGGCCCACATGCAACCATTTTGTTTGGAGTGCCTAATAATTATGACGTTTATGCACAAATAATAAAACTTTTAAAAAGTTTCAACAACTCAAATAAATAAATAAATTAAACATATCATTTACTTTTATCGGAACGTTAGCGTAGGTGTCTAAGGTACTCGCATTCATTTGCGACTAATTTTGTGTTTTGTGTTTATTTGCATGTTTCTGTATAGGATTTGATGTATGCCGTATTAGCAGAAATTTAATTTCGTTTCGATGATGGTGGGTGGGGTTTTTCGGGTTTTCCTCACCTATAAGTCAAATGGCACCATCAATAATCTTTAAGACGCACCGGAGCGCCACAGCAAATAATAATAATAGGCGTCCTTTCCCCTACACAAGTCGTTTCCTCGGATTCAGGTGTTGAAATTCACTTGTAAGGGGGTGAATTATTTTGACAGATGTGATAAGTAATCATTTTATAAATGTATAGCTACTTTGTCAGAGATTTTGAATTTATCACTCTTATTTTAATTTTTGTTTAAAAGAAATATACTTACTGTCTTCAGGATGTTTTGTAGTCGAAAAACAACCATCGGCAGACAAATACAATAACAGAGCACCATTTGTGGGTAATTCTTTAAAACCGCTAGCTAAGAATACTAATACATGGCTTAAGGTGGGTTTGTACAGCAGGTATTTATGAGGATTTTCTCTTCGAGACGGTCTATCACCATTTTCTAGATAACTAAAATAAAAAAAAAGTTGGATACAGAGTGATTCACTGGGAAACTGAGATTCGTTAACCGTGGATGAAGGCCACCGAGATGATACTAAATAATGTAATTAATATTAGTAAAAATCTAAAGAATACATAAAAATTTTAAAGGTTATAAATGTTTAAATATAAATTGAATTAAATGTAAACTACTAGAAATATACCAATTAGCTTATATTGAACCAAAGATATATTCAATTATTTTAATATGCTTGTTTAAAATTTGTTTTGAGATAATTAATTATTCATATAAATGCCAATTTTTCCATTTTTGCCCCGTTTGCTCACTAAATATTTATCATATATGTACAGTTTAATTTTCCAATGGAAGTTTCCTGTCGGTCATTAATTGTGTATTATGACCATCTATCATTTAAGTCTTTATCGAAAAGTTTAGACATATCATTAAATATTGTACTAAAACGTAGTAGGTTATGTTTGCTTATTCCCGAAATAAAAATTGTTTATTTATCACGGGACTACTGATTATTTTGTAATTATTTTATATATACAGATGTTATTGTTTATTATTCTCTCCTCCCTTTCCAAACCATGAAAAGGCTTCGAGAATTTGTGAAGCCCCGGTGTCCCTACCCCTAAGAATATCAAAGTCTCAAGTATGATATTAAGGAATTATTTTGTTTTTATTTCGTATTTGCCAGGAATGAATGGATGTTCCTTCAGGACTCCAGGACCCTGTGATAGTAATCTAAATAAGTCACGGAATAGTTAGAGACTTACTGCTATTACAATAACCTCTGTTTCGGCTCTTACATAATCAGTTCAAAAATGGTGTGGAGATGCCTGAATGAGCTAGGCGAAGCAAATACAATTACTGTCACTTGGGTCTCAGGACATAACGAGGTAAAGGGTCATGATATTGCAAATAGTCTCAGCTAAGATAATCTAAGATATTTACTGGGTGACTCTAACCAGAGATAAAAATAGCCTGTATCTGTCTGGGTAAGAACAGGTTACGCATTGTAACAGGGATTTTATCGGTCATTGCCGACTCAAAGGACACCTAAGTAACCTGGGCCTAATTGAAGATAGATTCTGTGAGGAGGAGGACATTACCTCCATTTACATTCTAACAATGTGTAGCACTCCAGAATACAAGAGCATACCGAATAGAAAAAGGCCAATCTACCTAACCTAAAGCTACTCTAAATCCTACATTTCTTTGAGAAGGGAAGGATCGTTATTGGCAACGAGACTATTTCCTTGTTGTATTTGCGACACAAGGGGATACAGTGTATTAATACCTTATACATAATGTAAAAATGGGGGTTTTGCCGTTTATGACCGATATATAGGGTGTTTTATCAATTTTGTCAATTTATTCCCTTATTGATTACACGGGAACTTTTACAGCAATGGATTTTTTTTTGACGTTTGGGCACTTATCATCTTTATTTGGTTAATTATTAGGAAGTTTTTACAAAGGACAATTCAGGTATGGCATGGCTCAAAATTCAGGAATTCTTCCACACTCAAAACAACGTCCTGTATCTGCTTTTTTTTAGTTCGTTTCCATTTTTAGGAAAAAACACAAAAACAGTATTCGACGATGTTACTTTTATTTTTGGACAGCCGATTGATTTTACTGTTTAAATTTTCATTATACTCTTCACACAATAGTCTGTGAATATGTTTAGTTTATCCGTTCGACCGTCCGTCCGATGTCACGTTTTTTGTCCGTAGGATAAGTCAAACACGAAAAACGATATTAACTTGAAAATTTTAGGAAAAATCAAACTATAAGAGGACAAAGTCTAGTGATTTTAAAAAAAATCTGATTAAAACGAGGGGGGAAGGTTAAATTAAATAATAAACACATTTATTTATATTCTTTTTGAATCTTATTTTTAACGGTTACGCTAAAATTATATATAATTAATAATATAGTTAATCAGTTAATTTTGTCCTTTTGTCCTGAATAAACGACTAAGAAAACTGCGGTCTTATATGCTCATTTGATTTTCTGTTTGGTATAAAATATCTAAGAGCTAGTCAAAATTAAATATAATCAATTAACAAAGGTAACTAAACGTTAATTATAACTAATTAACGGCTTTTTATTACAATGCATCAGTATATTTGATTACTTAGACATGGATGACAAGTGTACCAAATGTCAAAAAATATACAGGGTTATTTTCAAATAAGGAAAAAAATTGATAAAAGGGTCTATTTTGTAACTATAAAGAAGAAAATTTTTACAATTTATGAGCTTTTTGTTGATTGTCTCTTGCCAATTTGTTATCTGCTATTCTGATAGGAGGACAGTGTTTACACGAATTTTTCATCTTTTTAGTTGCCTTCCAGAGTGAATAATCAGTTTCTTTATCATCTATTAGCCCTACTAGGTATCTGTTAAAGGATTCTTCTTTGTGATTTTGGATTTCTCTTCTCAGTATTTGGGTAGCCCTATTTAATATATTTTTATCTTCTGGTGATCTTGTCATCTGCCATTTCTTTCTTAGTTTTCTTTTTTCTGCTACCAGTTCTCTTATCTCGACAGGATAGTTTTTTCCAGCAGTTAATCTTCTTACTTTTGGTGTGTTCCTACATGCAGCTTGCTGGATTTAAACTATAAACCTTTCCAGTTGTTTATCTTGCTGATTTTTCGTTTTTAGTGTTATGGTCAGTTGAATAGTATTTGTTAAGTCCTCTTGAAAACCTTCCCAATTTTTTTTTTATTTTGGTGTCATCGGCGTCGACTACTATGGCCATTAGCCTCGTGTTCTGTGTAGGCTTTGTTACTGTTTCCCATCGCCACTTTAGGAACATCACTGTTAATTAGAACTCAACAGTGAATGGTCGAGTGGGGAATCCTACCAAGGCATCAGAATTAATATATATTTTTCCGATTTGCTAGGGTCGGTTTGGTTTCTTTTTGAATAATATTATCACTTAGAGTAAGGATTACTACAGAATAATCTGAATCCATATCAGAGTTTTTTTCTACTTATGTATAGTTTCTGGAGCCTGTCAGAGAGTGAATCTATTCCGGTTATTAAGGATAATAATAATAATTCATGAGTATTACTTTCAGCTAAGCTGGCTGACTGTGAAGTTTTCTGTGCAATTTGTGGCGTGCGAGTCATGGCTGGTTGTGACCTTTGTATTAGTTGCTCCTGTGAGTTTGTTACCTGAGAATATGTTATTTTATTTCTGACAGTAGGAAAAGCGTTTATGGGCCTCTTCTGCCTCGTCATTATTTTAGGTTTAGTGGTGTTATCCTTCCTTATCTGAAAGGTTTTAGCTACCTCACATCCTCTTTAGTTAGTAGGATGTTCCATTAGGCAGTTTAAATACTTCGGTTGTTGTTCTGGACTTTTTAGACAATCCTTCGTATGATATTTTCCTACGCACTTTACGCATGTTGACTCTCTTTTGCAAAAGTTGTGTGTATGTCCAAATAGCTGGCAGTTTTTGCATTTCTTATGGTTTTTATTCTAACTCTTAAAATAAGTATTGCTTTGATTTCGTAGATTTTCTTGATATCTTCAATATTTTTGAATGATAGTATGAATAGCGGCAATGGTTTTTATTTAGTTTACGAGTGTTATCCTCAGTTAATTCTATTTCCTTCTTTATTATATTGACAGCTTCTTTATATTTTAATCCTTTACTTTGCAAGTCTTCAACGATATCTTCTGGTTTAGATGTAGATGGTAGACCTCTAACCATTACTTTAATGTCTCTGTTCTGTTTAATTTCATAGGAATGCCAATTTATTTCTTTAGCGTTCAAGGTTGATATGGCCATTTTTGAAGTCTTCTTCTTGTTTGGTATTAATTTTAAACTGGTTATTGCTTAGAGCTGTGGCTTGAAAGGAACTATTATTTTATGCCAGTGTATGGCGCAATTATTCATACTTATTGATGTTGCTTGCTATTATTGGGGGAAATTTCACTGTTTTTTCGACTGTTTCTTTCTTTTGTTGTTGATTTTTGCCACCTCCAGGTTGGCCAGGAGAGGTTTCTGGAGAGGAGTTGGCTTTTCGTTTTTTTCTTTTATTGTTTCTGCTTTCCTCTTCATTAGTTTCATAATTCGTTGGACTTTTAGATTTTACTTTGTTTAAAATATTAATTTGTTTTTGCATATTTTCCATATTGTTTTGCATTTGTTGCAACGCACTTTCTAGTTGCTGTTTTTCAGCTTCTTCCTGTATCCACAATGCACAATGCCTGTTCATTCTGACTTCTAGCTTGATTTTCATAAAATAAGGCCTAATATTCTTGGGCTAGGAGATTTTCTCCCACTTCCATTGTTTCCATATTATTTGTTTGAGTTACCTTCAGCAGGTCCTGTTTTTTGCTCCAAAAGCACTTTGGCAGGTGTCGATTCTGTTTTATTTTTTTCTACACATTGTAAAACTATTTTTAATGGCACATTATTATTTTTATTTCTGTTCTTAAACATAACGTTTAGCAATCGTTGTTGATTTTTTAAACTGTCGCTATTAAAAAATATTTATACTACATACACAAACGAAACTGACCAAGTTACGGAGTAATGTTAATAAACATACATCCTCACCTATCGACAGCCGAATATAAACTAGCTACGACATATATATGACCTCTTTTTAATTTTAAATCAGTCCACCAAAAAAAATATAAAAAATCCAAAATGATAAATTATATTTAACTTAACGTCCATGACCGTGACATATAAACCTCATTGGTCCCGTCCCTCCTGACTTAAAGGTTAAGTTGTTAAAAGCCTGATTTACACCACAAATACAACTTTATAGCGATCTTGAATACTAGAATAGCTACTAAAATTGCTAGGCCTAATGTATACTCGTTTTCCAATGAATCCCCATATATTCGGAATCTATATATATAAAATTGTTTGTCCTGATTGACTGACCTATCAACCTACAGCCAAAACTACTGAGCCTAGAAAGTTGAAATTTGGAACTTAGGTTTATTTTATAACGTAAGTATCCGCTAAGAAAGGATTTTTCAAAATTTTAACTTTAAAGGGAGGAAATTAGAGGAAATGAAGGGAAGGAGCTTTTAATGAAACTCTTTGTTCTTTAAAGTTAGAAACATGAAAATTTAAATTACAGCTACTAAGCATAAATAAATAATGACGTGTTTCAGGGTTTTTCGATTTTCACATTTTAAGGGGGGGAAACGGGGGGTGAAAGTTTGTATGGGACTATTGATTTTTTTTTATTCTCTTTGAAGTTAGAAACATGCCTCTTGCTTTCAGGTACCTAATACATATATTTTTTTGTGTAATTACATTATTGTTAATTTGTATTTATGAAAGCAATAAAGTTATTTATTATTATTAATGGGGGGTGAAAATTTATTTGGGAGTATCTATGTTTTTGGTTCTCTTTAAAGTTAGAAACATGAAAATTGGAATTGCAGCTAATGAATACAAATTAATAATGACATGTTTTAAGGTTTTTGGATTTTCACATTTTAAGGGGGGGGATGGGGATGAAAGTTTATTTGGAGATATAGATTTTTTTTAAAGGTAGGAACTTGAAAATTGGAATTGTGGGTTCTCATTATAAATAAATAATGAAGTGTTTCAGTATTTTTGCATTTTAACATTTTAAGGGGGGAAATGGGGGGTGAAAATTTGTTTAATAGTATGTATATATTTTTTTATTTAAAGTTTGAAACATAAAAATTTGAATTACAGCTACTGATTAAAAATCAAAAATGATGTGTTTCATGGTTTTTGGATTTTCACAATTTAAGGGGGAAAAACGGGAGTAAAAATTTGTATAGAAGTATACATTTTTTGAACGTTTGAACTTGAAAATTATAATTGTAGCATAAATAAATATTGACGTGCTCTGTAGTTAGATTTTTGTATGGTAGTATCATAAAAATAAACTAAAATTAAAAAATAAAAAATAATTATTAAAAATGAATAAAAATGAATGAAAATCAATAAAACTAATAAAACTTAATAAAAAAGGAAGTCACGTATTTTTTTATATTAATAACACGACTACATGCGAGAAAAGTCGCGAACAACGTCGCGGACAACAGCTAGTATTTGATAAAATAGCAATTGCATAAAAATTACACACATACCCTTTAGGTGGATTCATTCCGTAAGGAACTCTTCCAGGAGCAGGCGAGGCATCGTAGATGTGATTAAAATCTTCTTGAGGTTCCCTCTCCAATGTCTGAATCATCCTGAACATATCCATAGTTAGTTCCGAAAATTTAACTTGCTCTGATGCGCTTCCTACTATTAAAATTTCTTGTAACGTTAAATTCATGTACTGTGATTTTTCTACAGGCGGTGTCGTTAATGGACTTAATCTGCAAATATAAAAAAAAAATGATTAGCTTTTTTTATGATATACTGAGTTGGGCATAATTGGTGGAACATTAAATTTTTGGATTTAGTGGAAGAGTAATAAAAAAATGCTCGGACAGGTAGATTTTGTATTTTCAATTCGCATTTTTGATACATGTTTATGTTTTATAAGTTCATCACTCTATGACGTATGCCAACACAAGTATGTTTCTATTACAAAGGGCCTCACTTATGTCTTCAACTGTCTTCTTATTTGAAAAATACGTCAGAATCTTCACTTCTCCAAAAATGTGTTTCTTCGTATTTTTTTTTCGAGATTCTATTAAACTGCAAAAGACTTTACACACATTTTTAACACATCTACCAATTCTTCCAGTTTTCTGTGAATAGTGTCTGTAATACACGTTTAGTACTACCGAGGAATGCATTTATTGTCATTATGATATTTCAAAATTTAAAGCCCTTTGATTTTTTTTCTCGAAAACTGAAAGAGTCATGTATTAAAAAGAATTAATTGGGAATAAAACCACTATTTTTATACAAAATACTTTTTATTTTTGACGTTTCAGTGTCGCATCTGATACCGTTATCAAAAAATTAAATAAAAAAAAAATAAATTAAATAAATTGAATTTCAGGTGCGGCACCGAATGTTTTTTGTTTACATTACCTACACTTTATCATTCCTCAATAATGTATTTTCGAAAAAATGGCATGTTCGAACAATTGACTCTTCGAAAAACTGGCCGTCCGAAGAATCATCCGTTCGAATAACTGTCCGTTCGAAAAACGGTCCATCGAAAAACTGTCATTCGAAAAACAGTCCTAGATTCGGCTATCATATCCACTCTTGTTGCACAAACTACTGTTGTAGTGAAATAGGTATGAAATGAAAAGTTAAAATTTCTCCACTTACCTATGTGAAAGAACAATTGGATTAGTATCCGCGTGTAGGACTTGAACTAGGGAATCTGATTGTATAAAACCCTTGATCTCATCCAAGACCAAACTCCACTCGATCTGGTCGTCGGGTTCGTACGTGCTTGTGTAATCGGAGATATGTCTGTCTAATTCTACTATTAATTCTCTAACTAATTTCATTCGTCTCAAAAGAAGACAAACTACTATAAATCGGGCGTAGTAACGTAGTTTTTTCACCATTAATTCTGACCTAAAAAATAGAATGCTTTTAAAACTATTTGATATGTAGTTGTGTTCAGAGACCCTTTAGTCTAAGTATCTCTTTATTTGACCAATGTGGTATTTTAATAATATTCATATAGTTAGGTAGAAAATTAACGGCTGTAAAAATGTCTTATAAAAAAACAAGAGCCACTTTATAGTTCGCAATTTTCCTTGCGTAGTTACAAGTTAAATTAAGGCAATTCGTATTGTACATCTGTGTTCTTTCGATCAGTTGTTGCAGTTGTTATTGCGATGGCAGAAAACAGCTATAGACTAAAAACTAATTGCTACAAGAGGTATTGTAGCTGCAATTTAAAGGAAACAATGTCTAAAATGAACGCTGCCAATCATTGTAAAAATCACTAGGCATATGACATACTCTCCGAGACTCCTCGTACTTTCGTATTCTATTCTGTAAAACCCGATGACCACTGCGTGGCTCGAAATCAGTTAAAAGTCACACATAAGCTATGCGATTTGAAGTTTTCCTTTTCTCTCATGGCCTTTAATTTAATTAGTTCTGCTAAAATTCTTAATTATCTATTGACGGATATACCTTTGCCTCTATCGTTAACTATTAGCTAAATTTATCTTTAAGTACCGCGTATATTTTGTAATAGTATATATCAGGGATTCCAATTCCGAACCTGCAACGTATCTTCAAGTCCAAGAGTTTGAGTCCAAAAATTCGAGGCCAGCCCAAAACAACTGATAATCAACGACAAACAACTACTAGACTAATCCTTTAATTAATAAATAAGCACTTGTTATCGTGCAAGTATTTAATTCGTATTTTATATGAGACGGAAGAAGTTGTCGCATCTATTTACCATACCGTATCGCACCCCACACCCTTCTTTCACAACAGACAAGTGATTCACACAACGATCGAGAAAATACATCTCCCGCATAGGCCCTTCAAGTATTTTCGCATTTTTGTGGCTCACAGTGTTAAAGAGTTAACTAAATTGGTGTACCTGTTTGGTGCGCTGGTTGGCAAGAACAACGACGCAATTAAAAATAATATATTTTATGGTATGACATTTTAAAATTTATTTGTAGTTAAATATTTCATTGCATAATTATGATATAAAATATTAAAATAATAAAAAAATACAATCATCACAAATATGTCCCCTTCAGATATCGGTCATTATTCTTGAGATTAGAATTATAGAAAGCAACTTATTTTATTGTTGTCTAAATTTAGAACAATTGGACCTCACAAAAAGCAAATAAAATAAATACAATATTATTTTATACTAAAAAATAGATTTTTTTTATTTAAAAATTAAAGTGCCTCGACTGCCAGGGTCATTGATACAGGTACAAAATAATATATTAATAATAAAAAAACAATTGAGTATTTATAACTTGTAAAGGTTATTTTTGTCTTTTAGGAATTTAATAATTTAATAATATTAATTATTTGGTCTTGAGAACTAAGAACTTCTTTCAGATTTGGTGGTAGGTTGTAGATTCTCCTGTGGTTCGCAAAGTCTGGGCAGTCTATGAAGATGTACTGGACGGTTAGGGGAAGCATGCAGCTCTGACACATCGGTAGATCTTCGGTAGCCATTAAGTAACCGTGTGTTAGTCGAGTATGACCGATTCGAAGTCTTCGGATGGTTATTTTGTTCTTTCTTGAAAGATTAGGCATTTTAAACGGTTAGATGTTTGGTTGAATATCACGTAGTTTTGATGTTATTGAATTTCAGTGGGTTTGCCATGTTCTCCTAATATTATTTTTGAAAAAGTTTTGGATGTGTTTAAGTAGCTGAATGTTTTCCATTGCTAAATTTGATAAGAAGCCTCCTTAGCTGCACGGTCGGCTGCCTCGTTGCCTGGTATACCCACATGTGATCGTATCCAAATCACTGTTATGGATACTCCTTGCGTAATGAGAAGATGACAGGATTCATGTATTGTTTGGACCACTGAATTTTGTGAGGAACGATTTTTTATTGACATGATTGATGCAAGTGAGTCTGTGCAAATGGCCACTCTTCTTGTATTTATTTTAACAGATTTGGTAGATGCCGAACAGCTCGCCAATGTGAACACTGGCAAAATGTGGCAGAAGATTTTTAGAAATGATATCAAGACCGGAGATCACAGAGCATCCGACATAGTATTTTATTTTAGAAGCATCTGTGTATAGGATGGTGTCGAATTGGGAAGAATTTATTAGATTTCTAGAAAAGCTTGTTTTTGAAAGTTACTTGAAGTTTCATTTTTAGGGTCATGAGCTAGAGTGGTAATAAAAACTGGTAGAAATTTTTCACATATAGATATAGGAATTGAAGTTGTTTGAGATAAATCGATATCAGCGGGAAGTGGAGTAAGGATTTGTGGTAATGTTTGAACATTATGAGTGGAAACGTTCGAATATGCCGCGTTAATTAAGGAATATGCTGGGTTTTTGCGATTTGCTGAAACCCTTTCACAGTAGGTAAGAAGAAGCTGTTGTCGGCTCAGCCAGAGAGGTGGTTCGTTAGCTTCACAGCATACACTTTTAGAGAGGCTGGATCTAAAAGCTCCAAGGCATATTCTTAAAGCAGAATTTTGAAGAGAATTCAGAGTTTTTAGGGCAGATTTAGTTGCCGACATATAGATGAAGCTTCCATAATCTATCTTGGATATAATTAGTGCTCTGTGCACCTTGAGTAAAACTTCTGCTGCTCCCCACTGATGGTAAGATAACGATTTCAGAATATTAAGTCTGTTTAGGCAGTTATTTTTCAATTCGCAGAGGTGTTTCTTCCAGTTAAGTTTGCTGTCAAAAATAAGTCCTAAGATCTTGTGATGCTCGACTCCTGCTAAATGACTACCGTTTATGGAAATATGAGGATTTAACCTGCAGAATAATCGTCTGCTGAACTTTAATACTTTTGATTTTGTAGGGGAGAAGTAGAGGCCTGTTTCTGTAGACCACAAACTGAGCTGATTCACAGCTTCTTGGATTAGTGTAGAGGTAGATGTTACATTTTTACCAGAACAGTAGACAATAAGGTCATCTGCATATAGAGAAAGTTTGGCCGGAGGGCCAATGGAGTTGCATATGTCGTTATAAGCAAGAATGAAAAGAGTCGGGCTCAAAACCGAGCCTTGTGGCACACCATTTTCTTGGGAGAAGATAGAAGATGTTTTTCCATGTACAGTAATTTTGAACACACGATTAGTAAGAAAATTTTTAATAAAACTGAATAAGTTTCCGGTAACGTTACACTTTTGAAATTTTTTGAGAATTGTAGGATTCAAAAGGGTGTCAAAGGTATTTTCGATATCAAAGATAGCTGCTACGACATCCTGTTTTTTAAGAAAGCACTGAATACAGCAGACTGTAGTATTGATAGATTATCTAAGGTGCTGCGTTGGGGTCTGAAACCAGATTGGGCAGGTGTCAGGATTAGATATTTCTCCAGGTACCAAAGAAGTCTTCTGTTTATTTTTTCTACTAGTTTGCACATCGTGCAGGTCAAAGGAATAGGCCTGTATGAGATTCGACCATCGGGTGGTTTTCTCTGTTTTTCAATTGGAAGTATTACAGCTTCTCGCCAGAGCTTGGGAAAATATTTCTTGGTCCAAATCTTATTATATAATTGTAGAAGTTTAGTGAGTTCAGGGGAATGCAAATTCTTAAGAAAAACAAATGGAATATTGTCGGGTAAGTTCGTGTAAATTAAAAGGGAGATTTAAAGATTTGGAGTCTGCATCAGAAGTCGGAAGGGCAGATGTAACTAAGCTAATTGAGGTAGAAGGTATGTTTCCTTGTTTGTTTTTGCATTTTTTGTGGAAGTTTTCAGCAATTATGTTAACTATTGCTTGGCTATCAGTTGCTACGTTACCATTACATAGTAATCCTGGAATGTTCATTTCAGATCTATTTCCCTGCATACGTCTGATTTTATTCCATACTTCACTAGGAGGGGTATCAGATGTAATTGAGGACACATAGTTATTTCACGATTCTTTTTTGCACTGGCTTTGAGTTTAAAAACAGATTAAATTATAGGTACTTCTAAAACAAAAATCAAAGAAATATCTTCGAAATGTCATCTTTTTAATAAAATAACACGTCTGTATTTTTGTAAAGACGTGTAACTGAAATTGATTCATACACATTAGACTTTGTCTCAAATTAATAATGAGGCAATCTTTATTTAGAAAATGTTGATCAAAATTCAGAATTTCGTCTGTATACTTTCTAAAAACAATTGATTTGCGTCGGTATTTTCCCAAACCAGCGGATCACTTTATACGAAGTGTAAGATAGATAGCAACTTCTCTTGCGCTCAATAAGAATTGCAACAAGAAAAATTGCTGAAGTGGCTTTAACTGTTACCTGTCTTCTTTTGCTGCTCTTGAATAATAAGCGCGACCTCTAATTGCGGCATAAAAAGAATATGCCTCATTTAAATAGTTCGTTTCGCTAGTTCTCAAACTGAAAAAAATACAAATATTAAAATTGGTAAATAACGGATTAAATTTTTATACTTTTATTCTTTGACAGTCATAGTTTAGATTATGACTGAAAAAATATGAGTTTGATTAGAGTATTATTCGATATAAAACTATTTTAGAAATGATCAACACAAATACACTGGGCAGTTAAAATTTGGTCAAAACTTTTTTCTACAAATCCATTAAATAGGTTTTTTGACGTTTGGTTTCAATGTAAAAATGTCATTTTACGAGAAGCCAATTTGGACACATTAGTGAAAAATTTTCAAAAATCTGTATATACATATATTGCTCATCCATATATAAGACGCTGAAAAGCGGGTCTTTGGTAAGAGATGTACCAACATTATATGTGGACAATTATCTTATTCTTAGTAAAATTTATTACATTTATTTTAAAAGCAGATAGGTATACTTTAGAATTCAATCATATTATTTGAAATGTCCAAAAAGTTGCCGCATAAAACTCAAAATTCCTAATGTCAAAATTCCTAATGCCAAAATGCCTAATGGCAAAATTCCTAGTGGCAAAATTCCTAATGTTAAAATTATTTTTTTAGATCTGGACCGTCGCGTTGAAGAAAAAACATTACTGTTAATAATTATTGAACTTTATTATTTTAACAAATCTTATTAAAAGACAATTTAAACACAATATACAGGTTCTATAAAAAAATAACTGAGCCGTTTATTCTAAAAGTGGCCTAAATCCATTTATTCGCTCTGTGCCCGACAGCAGCGCCAATTCATTAAATGTACTAATGGACTATTTTTGCTTATACTGACAATACAATTTTTAATAGAATTCGTAATTAAAAAGTATATATGTTAGTTTTAATAAAAGTATATAGATTTGTAAAACAACTAAAACATTAATTTTTTATTATTATTATATATTTTTATCGCTTAAACTAAAAAAATTACGTATAATCATTAAAAATCAATAATAAAATATAGGCAGGCAACAGTATTTACGGAAAAATGTATGAGAAGTTGCCTGAGTCTAATAAGTTGAATTTGAAGATCTAGCCTATTCTGTCAAAATAAAAAATATACCATTCAATAATAGCGTGAAGTTAAAATGTATAAACAAAAGGATTATTATTTATATTTTCATTTTTGTTCGAAAGAAAAGATGATTAAAACTGATTTCCTATCAGTAAGTCACAAAATTGCATTACAGCATACACAATAATCAAAGGCAGAAATCTAGTTCTTGTGGAACATTTAAGATTAAAGGGATGTTGAAGAACATCGTAAAATGATAATTTATTGATTATTTAACATCTTTTAAGTCTCTGATGTCTACTATTTCCAGTATTTTTGTTATTATTACAACAATAAAGGTAATTTTTTTTCTTATTGTACACCTATCCATTTATTTCTTTGATTTAATTTCCACTTTGCTACTGAAAATTTTTATAATTTACACTGTTTTTTTGATATTATTTTTACAAATTTCAACACAGCAACTCCGGTTGCTTATTGTATTGTTTTTATCTCCTATTTTGAAAAAAAAACTTAAATGTATACGTGTATTTGATATGCCAAAATTACAAAATATCGCCCTAAAATGCACGAATTATTCGCAGTTAGCGCTAGTATCACTTTTGCTTCCCCTTCGAACTGAGCGAATACTTAAATTAAGATATTCATTATCGATAATGTTCAAAAGCAGTAATGAAGGTAATTTTAATTAATTAATATTTAACAAGTTAACCTCAGTTTTTGGACAATTGCATTAGCTGAATAATCAGTACGTATAATTAATGCAGTTAAACCAAATTTACACAAATCCCTATAGTGGATTTTATTTGTTGCACTAGGTGTACGTTTTCTGCACTAATCGTATTTGATTTTTTCAATGTAGCTTCAAATATTTGACAGTAGAACACGTGTAGCATATACTTTTGACAAGTATGATAGTTCGAATACAGTGTCCAAAGTGACACTAGTGCAACAAATAAAATTAACTATTAGATATCTCAATGCAAGTATAAATATGAACTTAGGCCACTTTCAAAATAAACGGCTCAACTAGGTATTCTGGTATAACAACATGTATGTTACTCACAAAATCTACTTCAAAAACAATATTTTTATTATTGAATTTGTTTTTCAAGAATTTCTTATGTGAATATCTTTTCTTTTTTATGATTATATTTATGAATTTCTGTCATGCATTTCTTTCATGAATTTCTTTTGTGAATTTCTTTTATGAATTTCTTTTATGAATATCGTTTTTAAATATCTTTTATGTATGAATTTCTGTTATAAATATATTTTATACATTTTTTTATGGATTTCTTTCATGATTATATTTATGATTTTTTTTATGAATTTCTTCTGCGAATTTCTTTTATGAATTTCTCTTATGAATTTTTTTTTATGAATTTCTTTCATGAATTTCTTTCATCATGAATTTCTTTCATCATGAATTTCTTTTATGAATTGCTTTTATGAATTTATTTTAAGAATTTCTTTCATATATTTCTTTTATGAATTTCTTTTATAAATTATTTTATGAATTTCTTTTATGAATTTCTTTCATTAATTTCTTTTATTAATTTCTTTTATGAATGTCTTTTATGAATTTCTATTATAAATTTCTTTTATGAATTTCTTTTATGAATTTCTTTTATGAATTTCTTTTATGAATTTCTTTTATGAATTTCTTTTATGAATTTCTTTTATGAATTTCTTTTATGAATTTCTTTTATGAATTTCTTTTATGAATTTCTTTTATGAATTTCTTTTATGAATTTCTTTTATGAATTTCTTTTATGAATTTCTTTTATGAATTTCTTTTATGAATTTATTTTATGAACCTTTTTTATAAGTTTCTTTTATGAGTTAGAAATATGCCGAAAAATAATCGAAATCAGTAAAGAATTAGATTTCACGAGATTTATTTTAAAATTACTGCCACCATAATTTCAAATTCAAAATTTTGGTGGACACGGTTGAAATTTGGATTCACTAAAAAAATAGACCATTTTTGGAAAAGAGAAATCTAAATTAAACCAAACATAATGGGCATATTACAATACCGTAGTAATACTAACACAGACCTACGATAGTAAATCATGAATCTGTGTTAGTACCTATGTCATAAATAGAAGTACAAAACATCTTCATTATGCAGGTATTTTAATTTTCAAAAAAGTTGGGACACAGGATAACTATAGACTACTGGGATAAAATAAGAATATTCAAAAGTATCTGATTAAATCGGTATACCTAGGGCGTGAAAGATTAAAAAAAAAATTAAATAAAAATTTGCGCCTAATGAGAAGAAGTAGGTTGTGATAGATTTTTATAATTTTTGGTATTGCATATTCTGTGACTATAAGTCACGTTTTGAGATAACTTACTAATAATGATAATATAATTGTCCAATTTTAGATGCTATTTCGCCGATTTGCCATCGTTTCAAACCATATTTTGTATCTAAAATTTGACGGTGCTGCTGTTGAAATTTCCATAATTTCGTGTAAATGTCGAACGTTCTACCAAAATAAGCTTGCCACTGCTTGTGTCCATATTGCGGCAAGTCCCTGAAAAAACAATTGTTATAACTGTATATAAAGTGCAATTTGCAAAAAATATAAAAATGTTTCTAATGTAGGCCAAGGTTGAGAAATACAGATACAAGTTATGTCTATGAATAGCTACATATAAGCACGTCCCTGAATTAAATTCAAACTTTCATTTAAAAAAGACGGAGTATAATTTTATTGTACGGTCCGACATAAATAATTTTTCCAAGACCTACTTCAATTTATAAAATTAAGGATAAAGGTCATAGTACCTACACCAGGGGCGGCTACTCTTTAAGGCAGCATAGTCGCGCGCTTTTCCTCAAAAATACCAGAAAATAAAATCATAATTTAAAATATTATTTATTTATATAATAATTTTTCCTGTCGTCTCGAAACAGGCCATGAGTGTTATTTATTAGGTCCCCTACAAATCCTTCCTATAATTTCCTATAATAACAATTTATGATCTCTTTGACTGAACTATCGTCGGCCGCAGCAAGAAACGGAGTATGTCTTGCAGTCAATTCTTTTAGTGCAGATTAGGGCGCAATTTTTTTGCGGCCACCCAACATTTAGAATTTAGATGATGATGGGTCAGGTGGCTCTTTTACTTTTTTAAAAATGTTTTATAATTTTCACAGAATTTTTATGAAGCACCATGCTATGTTATGCTATCAATACATAGAAATTTAGTTCTGGAGATAAATAATTTCGACAAAAAAGTCATGAAAAAATTTATTTCGATGAAGCATCGAAGAGCAGATTTCAATTTCAGGAAGTCATGTTATGAACTTTCGTGAAAACAGAAATTGGAAACAATATAAATATATCGATTAATCGAGTGATTATTTTTGTAAGCCGTTTTACTATAAGAAATATATTTCATTTTGCTTATTGACTATTGACAAGGTGCAGTGTGTAGTGTGGTATTTTTTCTATGTTAATGAAAAAATAAATAAAAAAAACAAATTTTACATAATCCCCACTCTCAAACCAATTGGCGCCCTCAACACCTTCGCAGCTCACGAGCGCCACTGACCTACACCTATCCCAAAAATATATTTAAAATAATATGTACTCATCTATGTAATTATTTAAAAAAAAAAACCGAAAGTACAATTTTTTGGTCGACACCTCCTCAATGAAAATTTTATTTTTCAAATGAAAATAAAGGTGGTTAAAATTAGAAATTAAAAATGAAATGCCATATTAACATAATTTTAAGTAAAAATCAAGCTCTATAGAAACCACTAAAAATCTAGAATGAAAAGGTTTAAAAACACAAATTTCACCTCAAAGAAAAGTTACTTATCTAGTTTACTTCATCTAAGAATGTAACCATTTATAGTTTTTTTTTTTAATATTCATTGTATCAAAATAATTGAATTCAAAAATTTTTCGTATTTTTTCTTATTGGTTTAGTTTAAAGTCAGCTAAATGTTATTGCAAAATGTGTAAATGGAAGGTGTAGCGACCAATATTTGCGAATTACATTTCCTAATAGAGAATGTAGTTTCCCTGTCTATACACTAGAGGGGGAGAGAAATATGGCCGCAAATTTGCGGAAGTCATTCGAAGGGTACCTCTTCTATATCTACAAGTATGTCTTTAAAGTAGCAAGTCAAGTCTAAACGTATGTAGTACGTAGACATTTCTTAGAATGATTATTAAGAAACCCGTATGAGACTTCAAATCATTCCTCGAACTATACAGGGTGTCCCGAAATTAGACGGTTATATTTTAACAGCGTAATCTACATCCTAAAATAGGAGTAAAAGTTCATAAAAACATAGGTTCCAAAGGGCTTCGGTTTCGAGATACAGGGTATTACAAGTGAAGTCCTGATGGCACATTTTTGTAAATATTTTCTAAAATTTCTTTAGTCACCGGTTTTCCAAAGTTAAAAAAAAAATAAAATTTCTGATTCCACAGGGCTAGTAATTATTGTTTACACTTTCGAATAAGGTAACATCAACTTATCGTGAAATTTTCAAATGTTTTTCTCTTGAGAATAGTGCGTCCTAGCGAGATGCAACAAAATTAGCTTTATTATAAAGAAAACATTGGTTTTCCAAATTTTATAGTCAAAAATGTTAAAAACTTTTAACAAACAAACTTTACCCACCTATGAAAATGACCAAAAACTGGTATTTAGTCCATTAAATAAAGCGTACCAAATTTCAATTAGTTATCTTTAAACGTTTACAAAATATTTACAAAAGTGTGAAAAGAAACGTTTTCGGACCTATTTTCATAAGAACTTTTACTCCTATTTTAGGATGTAGATTACGCTGTTAAAATATGACCGTCTAATTTCGGTACACCCTGTATATCTAATTGCGTTGGCGTAGAATAAAAATTGTACACCGTAAATAATCAATTGATCAAATAACGTAAATTCACATTAGAAAGACCACAGCAATTAAGTCAGTGTTACTATAACAATTATGTAAAATGAGAAAACTGTTTCAATAATTAAAACAACATTTAAAAAATATTTAGAAATAAAAATTACAAAAGTAAATATTTTAATTTTGTTTCATCCTGTGCATTGTAAGCCGTTTTTGCTACGGTCGAATTTTTCAAATATTTCTAAACATGCAATTCTGTGATCAATTTAGAATGTATATTGTTTAAAAATATTTTAATCAATACCTACTATTTAAAATCGAACAAAAATGGTCAAGTTGTTTTTATTAGGAAATACACAAAAATACAATTTAAATTATCTACCATATTTGAAAAAAAAAAACAATGTTTCTTCTTATTTAGAACTGTGTTATTCAAACATAAGTTTCATCAAAAACAGTAAAAATAAGTAGGTATCTACTTATTTTAAAAATAATTTTTAAAATCCCATACATTGTCAACTGTTTTGAACATTCTGTAATTCAATTTTGTTTTACTTCAAAAATTGTCACTAATTTTACCGGTATATTTAACTTAAATTTAGATAATGATTTTCTAATAATAACATAAATTTTTAGATATAAATTTATTCATTTATTTTGATTTAAAATATTTCTAAATTAGTCATCAATTATAATTAAATTGTAATTTTTTTCTTTATTAATGTTCTAGTTTTGAGTCTATATTTAACGAAACTAGGGTTAAACAAATATAAATATAATTATTTTCTTTATTTGAATATTAATTAATACTTAGTCAAATTTTTTTTAATTAAAAATATTCAGATTCAGATTTTACTTTCTATTTTTTTATTATTGATATGTTTGCTAACCCCTAAAAACGTTTCGACATGACATTAATTCCAACTTTTGGAAATGTTATTTTCTAACACAAAACGAAAATAACAAATAATGTAAACACTTTACCTAGTTAAAACTTTTATATTCAAATACAAATTTAGTTAAAGAATTGAATGTTACTGTTACTTATGATATAGAAACCAATCTCACCTTAAACCATTGAACAGTTGTTTAGACTTTTCCAATAAATGAACAAATTCCATAACAATTTTCCGTTCTTGTTCGTCCATATTAGCCATGCCGACCATTTTTTTCTAATTGTTCAGCATCTCATCTTCGGCAATGTTTCGAAATCGTGGAAAAATGGCAAGTTTGACGGCACTCTGAGAAATATCGAACAGCAGACATAATGTCGATGCCAGCACCGCGACGGCCGTTGTGATAATCAACGGACGCATGATAATGGTCTACACGCTACATCTCACAAATACTCATGATGGGGGAGTGGGAGAAAACGTTGCATATCTACAAGGAATTAACTCTTGTCGACCGACACTTTCTGAAACTATAATAATTTAATAATCCTTTTTTTATTCGTTTTTGTACTATTGTTTTGCACCGAAAAAGTAATTGTATCGTTTGTCTGCGAAACAGATGATCTGCCCCGTACCAGTGGCGGCTGGTGGTAATTTAAAATGGGTGTTCAATTTTTTCCCATAATTTTATCATTTGTAAGTTCAGTTCGAAATTTTACAAGCGCTGTTTTTTTAATTTGGGTTTGTATTAAGTGTAGTTATTATTATCACTATCATATTGTTTTCAAGCACTACAACTATTAATGAATGAATGAATATTTTAGTTATTATAATATTTGTTTTGTTTTTAACCTTTGAAAACCATCTATAAACATTATTAGTTATAGTCAGCTGACTTTTTTTCATATTTTGAGATTATTTTTGAATATATATCAGGTTATGTAAAAAATATTATATGAAACTTTACCTTAAGTTTTCAGTTTTTATTGTAAATTTATTAATTTTCACTTATTTGTCACACATTTCAAATAAAATAATATATTTAACAAACTAGAATGAAGATATACAGTGTGTCCGAAATTGGTGATGCATGTATTGCGATCTCCGAAACTGTTAAATAGAGATAGAAAAACAGTTAAATGAGGAAAGTTTTAGACAATTCTGTTTATAATTCAATGCCGTTTAGTTTGAGATTTTTTCTCTTTTGGTATTTGAGATATTTTGAAAAACTGAAATGACGCATTTCCGAAAATAGCCTGTATTTTCTAAAATCTGTAGAAACTTTCTTGGAGCAATTTTTTACTTAGAAAACGCCTGTGTCGTCAGATTTTATTTGCAACGTTTCAGTTTTTTCAGTTTCTTGGAACTATCATCAACTTTGTTTTTTTTTTATATGGACGCCATATTGGATTTTTACTGTTTTGAAAAGCTTTTTTTTTACCTTCCTAATGTATCACACTTAGTAAAAAAAGTTAGGTTATGGGTTAAAAAACCAAAAATTATGATTTTATTTTTAATTTATTTTTTAATAGAAACAGTTAGATTACCCTGTATATTTTAAAATCTTATGGTTACACACCTAATGTAATGTTATTAACTTACTCAAAAGTCACTAAAGAAATGCATATCGTCTTTTTAATAACTTCAAAAGATAATTATATTTTGGTGGTTGGCTCGATGGCTCACTCTGTATAAAAATAAACTAATTCAATTAAATAATTGCTCTGTAGCACAACTATAGTTATTGAGTGTAAGCAAAAACATATTGTGATTTATTTGTGAAGCATCCTGTAACATTTTTATTTTCCAGACAAAAACGCAACACTCTGTATATCCAAACATATTTTTGAAATACGTATTTTTTAAATTATATAACTTTTATTTGAAACTTGCTTGCGTGTCACTAACACAAATTGAAATATTAAACTATTAATTAATTAATGTATATTATTTTCTAAACTAGTAGTACTGCATTACAAAAAAAAAAAAAATTCAATAGGTATGCCATGGATATTTAAAATACCATGAATTTCAAAATACCATGAATATGGGCATACATAGATATCCTCGATAAATTCATACATATATTTTGGTAGATAGAAACATATCGTAGACATAAGTTTCATGCTGGCCTTTAAAATATTCCTTCAATCTACCTGTCATATGGCATGGCGGATTTGGCATATGCATGGAATGTAGGAGTACGCAATTGCGATATGCATTGAATATTCATGCAATATTTTTGTGCTCTCTGGGAATTCACTAACATCGTAAGCGTCGCAAAGTCTCACAATAAGAATATGCAGTAATTGTTGTCCCCAGCTGCATAAACTTCACAAGCAACACCACATCTTTTTGGTGGCGGGAGAATCAATATAGATACTCATGTTAACGTGATTCTAGCTCAACAAGAAATGGCATGTTGGACTCAACACTCAACAGTGACAGAGTGTGGAAGGGGAGAGGCGTAGTCACTCGCATATCTGGGGCAACATTAATCATTTGTAATTACTGTGGTGGGAGGTGTTTGTGTGAATGCGTCTTGTTTGTTTTCATATACGCCGTGACTAGCAGTAGTATTTTATAAACATAAAGCCTTGGTTTCTTTGAACACTTCGTCGCGGTGAGCGGACAGTCCATCGACAGTCGCGTTTTGATGATTTTATCCAACCGGAGTATTTAAATAAGAATGGTTTTCTTGAATCCGCTTAGCTGAGCAGGACGGCGTCATGCCGCTGATTTGTCGCGACTAGTCGGTTCATATCTGTTGAGTTTGATATCAGCGGAATCGTTGACGTGTGCGGAGACAGTTGTGAATACAAATAAATATATTGTTATTACTTTTAAAACAATGAGTGACAAATTCACATATACAGATGACTTTATGATTTTATTTGTAGGTTTCTTGAAAATGTCGTCCTTTATAAAACTCAACACAAATTCAAAAAGATCTGTAGAAAGTCTAAAATACTCCCTAAATTTGGTTTCATTTGCAAAAAGCCTCCGATACACAGTGATATTAAAGGCACCTTCTGTATCGCGACACAAAAATAACTTATCCACTGGCGTATTGAAAACTTTGACTGTCGGAATTGCCAGTTCCTCTTCTTCCTCTTCCAACAATAATAACACAACCAATTTATTTGAGTTTATTTTAGTACCTTTCGTTTCTACTCATAATACATAAACATCACATACAGACATAAAAAAAGTCTCATTTTCTATATATAAACAAACCACCTCGGGCGAAAATCGCTGTCATCAGCGGTCGACGGACTGTTCGCTCACCGCGACGGAGTGTTCAAAGAAATCAAGGCTTTAGGAGCAAATTTCACATACATGAATAAATAATAATAATAATAATGCCGTGACAACAAGAAGACGAAGCAACGACTTCTCGTTCAAAACTTCAATCCATACCTGGCTACGCCGACAGGCATAAACACCAACGGCGTGGACACAGCTCACCTACTCTGTCAAAAGGAGACCGATGTACAAAAAAAAACGCGCACGACATGCGCACTATAAATGATTAGTGTTGTCCCACATACTTTGATTTATGTGTGTTGTCGCCAATAAATACGCGAGTGGCGTAGTCGCCTACTACTCACGTCCTAAACAGTCCTTGTACATGAATTATTAGTTTTTGTAACTTATTTCTATATTTGGATAACAAATTTTCTATAACATAGTGTTATATACCTCCAACATGCCTGTATAAATAATATGACTAATGTGAGAATTAAAAAATGTTTAACTTGTATGTTTATTGAACATAGTGTTATATTTTTTTCAGGCAACTTTTATTGTGACATCACTAAACATAGTATAGAATACTCCTGGAAAGGTCTCACAGAGCTGATTATGTCGACATAGTTCAGTTAACCGATATCGGTAAATATGTAATTTAGTCTTCATGATATAGGTACATACATAATGCAGACACAACTATTTAGTTTTTTGAATTAATTTAGGCCAGTGCAATATTTATTTTTCATATCGTCTTTAAAAAACTGTAATGTAAGTTTAGCTTCCATTTTTTTGTAGTTGCGATACCCCATCATTTGAGTAAAATCATTACCGCTTCATCAGTCTGACACTGTTTATCAGTACCTCTAGCATTTAAAGATAGGGCATATTTCAATAATTTTAAATTAATTAGGGATAACCTACAAAATAAAACAATTATTTATATATAATTATACTAAGTACGGTCAAGAAATTATCCTTGTTAACATAAAATATAATAAAATTGTCATACTTCTGAAATATCTTCTGCTACAATGTACAAAAGATTCTTCTTGGCTGCCAAGTGCAATCTAAGATATGTTTAAAATTAAGTACTTTATATCATTGCCATAAGAGCCCATTTCTTGATGGAACCCAGTCATTACTTAATTTGGATAGTTTTCCTATAAATAAAATTGATATAGTTTACCCAACATACTCGGATATAATTAGGTATATTTTGTCTCTGTGAAATCTCTTCTGATGTCATCGTATCCATTTACGCAGTTTTTTGTTTTTGAAACTTCGTTTACGTCTTTTGCAGGAAACAAAACAAATGTTTTGTTCACTGCATAGTACTTACAGTTGGTACAAAACACATAACTATTCTGAAGAAGTCATAGACACTGGAACAAAAACAAAATATTAATTACAGTCGTAAAACTAAATTATTGTTGTATTAAAATTTATAAATAAATAGTATAACCTCAAAAATACTTTTATGCTTCAAATAATAGTAAATGTTTTACCTTAGAGACGTTTTTCGGTAACAATCGTTAATTGGCATACTTCCGATATATTAAAGTAGCAGTTTTATTTAAAAATAATTTTTAAATAAAGTTAAAATTGAACCGTCTCATGCATAAAGGGCATATGTCTACTTCTATCAAAATTGACTTTTTGTCATATTTGAAGTTACCATACATAAACACATCTTATATGTAAAAATCTGATGTGCCCAACACATGACTTTCCTATCAAGTTATTATGGGCTTTTTCCGGTTATTTTGTACAACCTATTGCAGCACCTCTGTAAATGTTTAGAGGATAAACTAAATATATACATTTTCCACATAAAACTACCTCGAAACATTTTTCTATAGATATTCATTGAAAACGAAAATACTGACTTTAAAATTTATTTATTTTTTAATTATTATATCGCTCCAAAACGATTTTAGTAATAAAAACAAGGAAACAATCCATGCTTTTAATAATTATTTCAATATTCCATTTTAGTTTTTTATGGATTGTGTAGTCGAGGCTTGTCTAGGAGCTGATGGCGGACGAGGTGCGGCGCGCGTTGTTTTGAAGTGTGACGTTCAGGCGTAGAATAAGGTACTACATTTATGGACGGCTGTCATTATTAACATTTATCGTTAGTAAAATTAAAAATAAAACTTTTAAAATGAGGGTATATTTAAAGAAAATACAAGTCAAAGCTTCATTGTTTATTTATAAATTTTTAATAACAATACCTACGTACAAGTTATACAATTTTTGTTTTGAACATCAAATCTAGGAATATATGTATAATAGTCATAACTATTAAAATATATCAATATATTAGATAGAAAAAACAACTAAATTTATTATTATTGATAGTAATACCACAGTTTATAGCTAAAGAATCAGTTCACTCACTCTGCGTCGGTACTTTTGATCTCAATGTTCCAGTTTATACACTGCGCAACTCGGATTTGTATCCCTGGCGCATACAGAATCAAATCATAACCAATAAAATATATGACAACCGCCTACTATATTCAAACAGCAGTCTTCTGCGCATCCTGAATTTGTATCCCTGGAGTGGATTGTTATTTTGGAACATTCAACTGGTCCAAGTGAGCTAACTGATTCTTTAGCAATAAACTGTGGTAATACGTTATAATTTAGCAAAATAACTTTCTATGTTATTGTATATAAATTTATCATTTATCACCCAAATAAAGCAATCGCAAATTTTTTAATGATAACAAAGTGGTAATTTGTTCAGGATATTGGAATAAATTAACATTACCAGAAATATTGAGACTTCTTAAATTTTCCAGTCCCTCAAATATTCCAGGTGGTAAGCGAGATAACGAATTACTGTCTAATCTTAACTCTTCTAAATTTGTTGAATAAGAAAATGTTTTAAAACTGAGACTTGTCAATAAGTTATTGTTTAGAAATAATTTTCTCAAATTAAATAATTTAAATAAATCCTCTTCCAAAAAAGTTATAGAATTTCTTGACAAATCTAAAACAATAAGCGACGAATTGAAATGGGCAAAAGTATTTGTATTAATATAATTCAAGTTATTCCCATCTAAATACAATTCTTCCAAACTGGAAAGTCCAGAAAATGTTTCTACATTGATTTTATTTACTTTAGTATCAGATATTTTCAGAATTTTTAAACTGTTTAAATCTTCAAAAATATTGGCTTCTAACTTTTCAATATTTTTAAAAATGATTGAAGCATCTAAATTTAATATATCAAATAAACCATTGAGTGCACTTGGTTCTACTGAGGAAATATTTGAATTAGTAATAAGTAATTGTGTTAAATTATAATTTCCTAACAGACAATGATTTTTCATGGAGTCAATTTGAGAATTTACTAAATGTATATTTTTTAAATTAATGTTTGAAATCGTTCTTTTCTCGAATACTCCATTAAATTGCAAAATTAAATTTGTAATTACAACTGTCTTGTCTAAATGAACTGGTTGTGATAAGCCGTTCAAGTACATATTTTGCACATTTATTTTTTTAAATACGTTTGGTTGAATTCCTGTTAAATTATTGTTTCTCAAGTCAATCGATTCCAAATTTTTAATAGATAAAAAAGCCAACGGTTTTAACTTATTAATATTACAGTTAGAAATATTTAAAATTCGTAAATTGGGTAAATTTTGAAAAGCAGTTGTTCTTATCTCTTCTAATTTATTGTAACTTAAGTCTAACTGTTCCAAGGGTAAATTTCTAAATGTATTATTATCCAGTATAGCTAACTGATTGTTAGAAATTTTTAAAATTAGTAAATTGGTTAAATTTTGAAAAGTAGTTGTTATCTCTTCTAATTTATTGTAACTTAAGTCTAATTGTTCTAAGGGTATATTTCTAAAAGTATTATTATCTAGTATAGTTAAATGATTGTTACTCAAATCTATAATTTTTAAGTTATTCATATCATAGAAAACATCATTTTCTAAACTTGTTAATCCAATATTAGAAAGATTTAATATAGCTAAATTATACACATTGTGAAATGCTTTTGATTTAATATATTTTATATCGTTTCCTTGTAAGTTTAGATTATATACATCTAGATTTACAAAAGTATTAGTTTTTAAATGTTTTAGTCTGTTATTTGATAAATCTAGCAAAAACAGTTTTAAGTTTGAAAATGTATATTCTTCTATATTTTCTATTAAATTATTTGATAATTGCAGTATTCTCAGCGAATTTAAATTCTTAAATGCCTCACTGTCAATAAATGATATTTTATTTTTATTCAATTCTAATCCTATTAAACTCTCCGTGTATTTAAAATCATCGGGACCAATATGGGTTATATTATTTTGACTTAAATCCAAACCAGTTAATTTTTTACAATTTCTAAATGAATTAGATTTTATATTTGTAATATAATTTAGAGATAAATCAAGTTGACCAAGTGTTGGAATTGTTTCACATATATCAACAACTTCTTCAAGTTTATTTCCTGATAGAATTAAAGTAAATTCACCATTGTTTTTATTTCCAAAAAAAACGTCCTTTGTTATATTTTTTATACCAGAATGTGACAAATCTAATTTCCATATCACTGTATTAAAAAACAAAACTTCATTTAAAATAGTAAGACTATTATAACTTAAGTTTAGTCTATTAATATTCATATTTTTGAAATAATTTTTAGAAATATTTGATAAATTTGTTCTTGAAAAGTCAATATCATAAGGTGATAAAATTCCCATATTTAGTTGTCTTTCCTCGTTTAAGTATCCTAAATACGTATTGGTCACACTAAAACTTTTACAATATATTATATTTCTCGGTATAAAATTTGCGTAAAATTTTTCAATGAAATTGTTATTTGAATTTATACTTGTAATATTGTTTCCCACTATTGCGACAGAGTACGTACTATCTGCAATTTCAATACTTTCTAGCAAATTAAAATTAAGATTTAAGAAATCAACATAAACTTTTAATTTAGTTTCATTAAAATCAGTAAGTTTATTATAACTTAAATCAAACTCATCTATATGAGTTTTATCTTTGGCTGGTAATATAGAAGAAATTTTATTTTTACTTAGATTTAAACATCTCATATTATTATTAGGAAGTTGAGTTAAATTTATTTGCTTTAATTTATTTTGACTTAAAATTAATAGTCCTATAGACTCCGGTAAAGTTTTTACAAATTCAAAATCGTTTAAATTATTTTGACTTAAATCTAATGTGATTAATTCGTTCCATTCCCGAAAAGCTCCATCACTAATATGTTGAACAAATGAGTTGCGTATAGTAAGTGTATAACATTTATAGTTTTTAGTATCATTAAGACTAAAAAAACTTCCAAACTTGGGAAACTGTTCAATTGTAATATATTCAGAATTTGTAATGATGACTTCGTAGATTTGTTCTATGCTCTTGCGGTGTTTAAATGATTGGTAAAGAAATTCCTCTTGGCCAATGATGCCACTGCAACTGAATACACGATTGTATTTAGAGTACTGACAAGTTCCACATAAGGCCAAAGCAGGAAAACAAAGAAGAATGATTACGAGTTTCTGCAAAATAAAAAAAAATGTTATAGTTTGTTGTAAATTAATAGAATAATTTTGTAAAATAATATTTTGCCATTTTTAAATGGATGAAATACCCAGCTAGCACATTACATCGCCGAGTTTTGCTGCGTTGCCATTTTAAGGGGACGATAATTATATATAGTATTGGGATATAAAATTAAGATCGTAGCGCCGTCATTTATACTAAATGTAGTGGCTTGTTATTGTTTACATTTTTGAGTTTGTAAACATCCCATAAAAAGTATTTTGTTTATAATAAACTGTGCTCTGTGCTGCTTAAATTTTCACACATATTATTCTGAACAGGTTGGTAACCTGTTCTGAAACTAACAATATTCTGCCGGAATCACAAGCCGGTTTCCGACCGGGGTATGGTTGCATTGATAATGTTTATACGTTAACCTCTGTAATTCAACAGCATATTAGATTAAAAGCGGAAAATGTTTGCAATATTTGTTGATTTCAAACGTGCTTTTGATTCCGTCAACCACTCCTTGCTCTGGCTCAAGCTGTTTAATTTGGGTGTTAGTTCTAGAATTATAACTGTAATATTCAAAATGTATGAGAATGCATAATTCCGTATTAAATGTTCTGATGGATTTTCTAAATCCTTTGAGCTCACATCTGGTGTTTTACAAGGCGAATCACTTGTTCGGGATTTATACCAAAGTTCGGCAACAGGATGTGAGGGCCTTCCAGCCCCCAACGAGGCAATAAAAAGATTAACATATACAAAATCAAGAAAGCAACAGATTTCTTTTACACAAATAATTATAATTGTTTTAGGCCTTTATGTAACTTTTAAATAATACAAAGTAGTGAAAGCAAAGTATGTGTGTCCTTGATTGAGCTTTCGAAGTTAAAAACACTGCAGACCTTCAAAAACACGTTTTTGAACCTTTTATCACTGTTGCTTAAAAATAGTTCTAAATTGGAGAGAACGATTTATGTCTTAATATTAATAACAATAATAATTTTTTTGTGTGTCTTTGTAATCACAAGATTTTTGACTACCTTGTATGAAACTTTGATTATATTAAAAATATTTTGATAAACATTTTCACACCACTAAACACTAAAAACATGAAATTATATTTATAAGTGCGGCATTGGAAATACTTGGCGATTGATTGTTTCTTGGTAGAATTGAGTTCCTTATGGCATCACTCTGCAGAGACATTAGGAAAAGGTAGAAAAGCATTTTATTTAAAAACTACTTCATATTTATTAAAACAACAGCAGCAAATTTTTATAGATTTAATACTGAATGGCGTGGACATTTCTTTTTTTAATTTTCCGTTTAAAAATTAACAAAATATATATTTATCGAAGGTTTAAAAAAAATTCAAGGTTTCTCTACCCTAAGTTTGGTAATTATTAGTATTTCTTAAAAATTTCCCAAAAATCGGACTAAAAATAAAGTCGTAAAATGCTTTTAACATTTTTCATGGTGTTCGGTTTGCTCTTAAGTCAGGTGTGCATTCGAGGTTCATATGTCTGCGCATTTACAACGTAATCAGGTGGTCTGCCTTCCAGCCGGCATCAGCTGTTCGTCATTGTGAATGCTTATTAGAATAATTGTATACACAAGAAATATTCAAAGTTTTTTAGTTCACATGAACATTTATTTAATAATATTGGTTTACCTCAGTTTAGAGTGCCGTTAGTTTAACAAGGATGATAACTATTTGGTCAGTACTATAATAATTACATCGTCACTGTTTTTACAAAAGGGCATAACTCATTTTTGTCGATTTTGAAGGTGTGTCCCGCAGCGTATATTTTCTTCTCTCAAAACGGCATATCTCTACGATAAAAGGCAACAAAGTTATGGGGAAAAGTGTGTTCTTGCATATCTCAGTCGAGACGAATTATTATTTAAACAAAAGGGCTCAACTCAAGATAGGCCCTTTTGAGAAAACATCAACCAAATTTAATAACTGCGTCACATAAGGGCATATCTCAATTTAATACAAAAAAAACTAAATAAATAGAGTTTTAACGACTTTTTTCTTCAAAATATTGGTTTGGTTTTGAAAACGTTGCATAGTTTCATTTGTCACGGGACAATTTAAAAATACTGTAGATATGTATAGGGGAACTACACATTCAAATTCATAAAGACGAGATTCGTTTGTGTGACAAAATAACAGATCTTCACAGTTTGTGTGTTATTGTCTCTAGTGAGCACATTGTGTGGTAAATCTTTGACGATTTAAGTGCTAGTTATATTGTATTTTTATTGAAGATTCTTTGTGAAATAACTAGGTATGTATTACTAATTATGTATATTGGGATTTAGATTAAGACTAACAGTTATTTTCATCGAAAAATAAGCGGCAATGCGTGACATATTTATTCCAACAGTACCTAATCAACTGTAGGTTCATTTTGGCCCAGTTATACCGGGCTGAATGTAATTTAATTTTTATCCTTCACTATGAGAAAGTTGAATTTTACCGGCTTCAAGGAGATTGGACGTATATCGAATCATTAAAATAATAAGCTGTCATGTTTGATGTTTGTTTTACGACGCTATTTTTTATCCACAATAAAAGTCCAAGCACAGTCTAACGGATATTAGACGTTTATAGTTTTTGAAAACAAATATTGTGTAGGATAAAAAATTATGTGTAAACCACTGCGCCGAGCCTGGCCACTTCTTGAGGCCTGAAAAAGCACTTTACTGTTTAGGAATACAATATACTATTTAGCGGAGCACTCATCAAGGAGAAAAAAATATTTTTGTATTATGTAGGTAGGTACCTGTAATTATTATTTGTTTCAGATAACTAATTAATAATCATGGATCTTTTAATTAAATGGGAAGATGGAACAAAAAATGTTGTTGAAATTAAAGAATTGTCTCTTATTGATGGATCAAACCGTTTCAAAAAAAAATAAAAAAGTAAAAATGGACTATGGTGGAAAATTCTACTATGGATTAATAGTTGCTACAGAAAATAATGATGATAGTGACGCACAGTACAACAACTTTGATGATTATAGCCAGGAGGAAGTTGGCTTATCAAAATCTCCTTTAAGCAAATGTGGCTCTGATGATAATATTCCTCCCATTGTTAAAAACAAACAAGAATAAAGTTGATGTACCAAACACACTTTTGAGACGGCTGATAACAAGAGAAGCTAAAATACTAAGGTATACTCAATCTAGTAGTGAAAGTGAGGACTCACTATTTGGAGATTACAGTGATGAAAACTCTGATTTTGTTGTTTATGAATGTACCGCGAGAAAATGTAAAAGCAAAGGCATTAACAAGTGTAGTGCATTACTTTGCAAAGAATTTGTTTGTAATTATCATGATCTATGTCGGCGTCACTTATTTAGTCTAGAAAGTTGGACAAATGAAGCAGCTAACTTAGGTAATGAAGACAGCAACGAAAAGCTCTGTGAACACCCAAATTGTTCATTTGAAATATATAGTGCTTGTATCTGTTTAAAAGTCTTACTCTGTTTTGAACTGCCGCTCATACCAAGATTATAATCCGGAAAGCTTGGTTCCAGTCGAGGGATCTTCAAGAGAATTTTCATTTAAAAAAGTCAGGAAAACAAATTCATACAAATTAGCCAAAGAACTAAAGAACAAAGGACAGTGTTATGTAAGATCAAAAACAATAAACCTCATGCCACCAAAACAATTGGGACCTCGATGCAATGGGGAATCATGTTCAAAACGTAATAAGAAATGTAGTCTCTTCAGTGATGGTAAAAGACAAGAGATTATGCAAGATTTTTATTCAATGGTATCCTTGCAGTTACAAAGAGAGTACATTGCAAGGTACATCAAAATGAAAGAAATCAAACAAAAAACTACACAAAAAGAGGTATCTCGAAGAAATAAAAGCAATTATTACATTCTTCTGTTACACGGCGATGAACTACCAGTTTGTAAAACATTTTTTAATAATACTCTGGAAACGACAGCAAAGACTGTAAGTACAACATTATCGAAGACAAGTACAACTGGAATTATAAAAAAAAAGAGGAGGAAGGTATAAGTCACAAGTCGATAGAGACCTTCAATTAATTAATGGAATTACCGAACACATAAATAAATTTGGAAGAGTTTAATCTTATTATTGCCATCAAGATTCAACTCGTGAATATTTACATGAAAATCTTAGTCTACTAAAGATGTTTTCCATGTATCTAGCAGATGAATCTGGAAAGGAGCTTATTCTGTGTACCGCAAAGTATTCAAATCTATGAACCTTTCACCGACCCAAATTGGATCAATGCAGCCTTTTTTTGTCATATAATAATGGCGATGAAAAAAAAAAAAAAAGGAGTTATCACTAGAATATGAATCACACATCGTTAGAAAAAAATAACGTTAGAAAAATGAAAGGTGAAAGTAAACAAATGGCTCAGCAACCGAACTCAAAGTATGCTTGTGCTATTTTCGACTTACAACAAGTTTTTTCAATTCCAATATCAAAGAAGAGTGTTGTATTCTACAAAAGAAGGTTGTCAGTTTACAACTTCACTGTATGTGATATAGCATCTAGAGATTGTGATTGCTATTTATGGCAAATTAGCAAAAGAGGGTAATCTGAGGTTGCCACTTGCGTCTGTCTACACTTCTATAAAAAAATTTGAATCCCAAAACAAAAGTGTTATTCACTTATATTGCGTTGGCTGTGCTGGCCAAAACAAAAATACAATTTTACCTACAATGATGTTTTATGCATAAATAACAGCACAACATTAGATGAGATTCGTATCACATTTTTTGAAACTCACCACGGACAAAGTGAAGGGGATAGTGCTCATAGTGCCATAGGATATGCCGTTAAAGGAGTGGGAGATATTTTTATACCCTCACAATTAACAAGTATAAAAAGACTGGCTAGACGCAAACACCCTTACAATGTAGAAGTGATAAATCCTGAAAAGTTTCTAGCTTTCAAGGAACTGTCTAAAAATCTACGAATCCTGACCATTCGAAAATGTTACAATT